GTTTTTTTTTAATTCTTTTTTTAAAAGTTTTTGAAATACAATTACGTTAATAAAAAAGAACATGTGGTCAAAGTTCTGTCATCTTCAAGTGGGTGAGTGTGTTATGAGGGCCCTCTTTCTGAAGGGGATACTTTAAAAGAAAAAAAAGTGGACAAATTAGTATTTTGCTGCTGGCAGCAGCAGCAAGCTTTTCAGGAGGTTGCCTCAGCAGTAGGGCATTTCTGTATTTCAAACTGCCAAACAATTTATGAAGTTCTTTACAAGTGCATGATTAGGAAAAATGATTTGGTCAGCCTCCTCCAACATTTTCTTGTAATGATAGTGCCTTTCCTTTGAAGAATGCTATTGAAATAGCGCTTGGTTATTTTCATTAGAAATACTCATTTGTACAGAGCATACGGTGGATCAGTATTGTTTCTGAAGACAAAGACAGTGCTTGGACCATCTCAAGTTTTTTGTTCCTTGAAACAACAACAAAAATGTTTTGAAAACATTCAAAAATATTAATATGCAGGTTTACAGTTTAACACACTTTTTTTCTAGAAGACCTCCGTTTATCAGTATGCCTTTTTTACATACATATATATATACACACTAAAATGTGTTATTTCTCTGCAGTTAAGAATGTATGTTTCTATTACAAAAAAAAAAAAAAAGAAAGAAAGAAAGATTAATCGTTCCATTTTAGAAAAACTGCTCCGGTTTGAAGTTTTCAGTAAATCAGTCTTGGCTCAGTTCCTCCCCTTGTTGTTTCTAGCACTTTTCTTGCAGAAAAGGAAGAAGAGAGTTTTTAGCAGGAGAAAACTGTGATATATCAAATCTGCTGCATGTAGGCAGCTGCTCCCTGAAGCAAATCCAGCTGGGAATTTGAAGCTTTTGAAAATCTTCTAGGATATACTAGTTCTTGCAACACCCTGCAGACAAACCTGCCTGGCTTTAAACTAGCTGGTTCCCAACTGTCTTGTTACAAAAATGGGAAGCCTAATTTGGGGCCGAGTGGTGAGAGTAATTGTCCTATTGGCAGGGAAGGTTTTGCAGACATAATGCTTTGAGACTTGTGCTTTGAGATCTTCTGATGTAAGATCGAAATTTAATTTTCATTAAGTCATTTGTTTTAAATGAGTTTCATAGAATAAACTTAGATAAAAGAAAAGGGAACCAGTCTGGTACACAAATGGCCAACTACTGTGTATACAAATTGTGGAAAGTCAAATGGGAAAAAAAAGAAACTATAGCTGTAGGTTTTTTGCCCCCCTCTCTTTTTTTGTGTGTGTTGTTTTTGCCTTTGAATAGCTTTAAAAATACTCCTGAAAGTGCAAATATAGAGAACTCTCCCTCCTTCCCAGAATACTTCATTATGACTACCTGTTTTATTTAATTTTTCCTAGTGCATATTTCATGGTTATTATAAATGCTTTATTCTGTCTTTTTATCTAAATTTGCCTTGACTTTCCACATAATTCTGCTTATCTCTTTCTCTAAGCCCATTAAACCGTGTCGCCCCATGACCAACAACGCTGGCAGACTCTACCACTATCGAATTACGGTGTCACCTCCCACAAACTTCCTAGTAAGTTGCTTTAATTAGGTCTCCAGTTTTACTTTCAGTGGTGGAGGTAGTACTGTTCCTTGCTAACTCTATGCTGATTTTATTTGCTTTTTCAGACAGACAGACCTACTGTTATTGAATATGACGACCACGAATATATCTTTGAAGGGTTCTCCATGTTTTCACATGCCCCATTAACAAACGTAAGCATCTTCGTTACTTTATGCATGAACTGTTATGAACTAGCGCTTTTGTACAGCAGTAATACATGTGTGTTACAAGCATCATTCCAGCATGGGGGGGCAGAGAAAAGACATTTGTGCTAATGAGTCTCAGGTTTTGTCATGATTAATTGGGGTAAGTGTTGCCTGCAAACTGTGATTGAAGCTGTGATGTGCATCAAAGTAGTGTTCTTACATGTTTCACAGTTTGGAAGTGAAATAATCCATGGAATAACTTGTTAAAACTGCTAATTGGATTTAAATTAGATGAGCAAGTTTGTTAATTTGAAAAAGTTTTTAAGAAAGTGAAAAAAGTCTCTTATTTATTCAGTGGCAAATGGGGACTGGCTTCCTCAGAGTTCCAGCTCTATGGAGATTTTTCTTTTCCAAAAAGTTATCTAGAAATATCCCCTGCTTTCTAACATATTCTCAGCTTATTCAGGAAATGGCATGTCACAATTTTTATTACGCGTTGTAGACATTTAAGCTGAGTTACTTGGTTGCTTCCAAAGCAAATCTAACAGAAAGATGGCCATGTTTCATACCTTCTGCTTTTCCAATGTAGAGTGTATTTGTAATATTTAAATGAAAAAATATGAAACTGCATTTTGTTTCATATTTGGTATTTTGAGAATTCTTTTTTTCGAATGCTTTAAGGCACTATCCATTTCCTTGTTTTTATACCTGCTGTTAAGAATATCACCAATGCCAAGAGTGGCTACAAGTGCAGGACTGGGACCTAATAATTCTGGAACTGAGAGCCACTGAGGAAAAAAAAATACCCTTTTTCCTCTCATTTTGCTTGTATAATATGTATGCAAAGTCGAGGAGAGAGCTGAGTTCAGCCAATAGGGTTGCAATGCAAAACACTCCTGCCCTGTGGCGTTAACTCAGCCTCGGGCCTGTTCAAGGCATGTTTAGCCTGAGGCGTTACATTTTCACTTTGCAAAAAGTGAAAAGAAAAAGTCATGTTTTTTTCCTATTAAAGTGATACCGAGACTCCCTTGTCCTTATTGTTTTATATCTGCTATAAGATAGGAAAGCAGAGCGTTGCGGAAATACTTTGCTCTACAGAAAAAACAAAAAGAGCGATCTCTTTGGTCTGATATGAGTTGCTGAAGATGTTCAGCTGATTCTTACTGCAATGCTCATGTGTTGCAGCTACCAATCTTATCAGAACCTTGTTGTAATTTCTCGTCTCAAGTAGGGGAAGGTTTTCAACAGCAAATGATGATTGTCCTGCGGACCTTTGAACACAAATCAATACCATATCATCAGCTTCTGTTACTAACGGGGTCCTAGGCATAAAGCTCTTTGAAAAGAATTTGTCTTGCTGTCCTGAGAAGATTTTTGGCAACATGAAAACTATTGTTTGAGAGACATTGTGGAACATATTGGATGCAAGCGAGGTACCCGAGGGTAGCAGAAACAGTGTGGGTCATGTTTGCACAATTTGAAGTCTTGGCTTGCACACTGCTGTAGATCTGTGTCACTGTACTATAACTTCTCAGTAATAATTGGCCTGGTCAGATACTGGGTAAAATGTTTCTTGCAGTCGCAAAAGGAAGTGTAATTTTCATAATGTAGCTACCAAAGCCATCTGATAGTACTGACCAAATGTTCCTTGTATATTTAATACTGTATATGTATCCTTGGTTCTGTATGTGGAACTAATTCAGGTAGATTAGAATGTTCACTTCTCTGAAGCATTCATTTTCTACCTAAATAAGAGAAATATTTTAGACAATCAGAATGTCTTGCCTTTGTTGAACTTGCACAGTAGAAAACAAAAAAGCACTCCCTTTTATTTATACCTATATTTATTTATAGATATATTCATACGTGTGTGTATTGTGTGTATATGTAGTATTTTAAGCATTGCTGATATAGCAGCTTTCCTTCCTTCAAATTCTGTGAGGCATCTTGTCAACGTTTTTGTATTTGTTTTGGCAACATTTAACGTTAGAAAGGCTTTTTTTAAATCCCAAACAATGCGGTTTGTTCTTGTATTGGTTTGTGTTTTTTTTTACTTTAGCTCCTTAACCTCTAGATTATCTTGATGTAAGGGTGCAGTCAGCAGTTGGAGAAGAGTGACTACAGCAGTTGCTGATGGAATCATGTCATCAGCAGCTGCACGTCGGCAGAGTAACCAGATGTTTGTTTAGCAGTGGGCTGCAAGGAAGATGTGAAGAAAATACTGTGCCTCTGCTGAGTGTGTGGATTTCGGTGCATCTCCAGTTGTGTGTGTATACTGATGAAAAATAAAAGTCTTCAGCTGCTTCAGTTTCATAGGTCACTGGAATGTTTTGAGATTCTGTTATGTTTGCAAGGGCAGTGAGTAGTAGAACTTCCTAACAGCTGCAAGAGTCTGTAGTGTTTTAGAAATTTAACCTTGTTGACTGAAACAAAAAAGAATTCCCTTTAATAATAAAAAAAAAGTGTTTCAAAGTCCATTACATTTCCAAGCATTAGTAATATGAATTATTTTAATGTTTGTCTTACCAGTTAGTATAGCAAATGTTTAAGAATATTTGTTAGATAACATTTGTGTAAACCTGTAAATCTCTCCAGAAAGTTGCTGCCTTCTGTTTCCATCTCTTAAAGCTGCATTTTAGGGCAGTATGCAGTCAGTGACGTGCTAAAAACACTTCACCTTCAGGTCACTGTATCCATCTGGCGTGTTGTATCATCAACAATAAATTTACCCACAACTAAACATTCCCAAAGCGAGAGAAGAAACTGATTTACCGAGCTGTGCCTTTTCTAATCAGAGCTTGCTCTCCAGTAGATGGCATTATTTAATCGTCCTTGGCTGCGCGGTGGCAGAGGTGGGGATGAGGCTTCCCTCGCGCTTGCTGCAGTTCTGTCTTTTGCAGGATCTCATTGTGCAACTGTTATTAAGTGCCCTCTTGATCAGACAGTAATACCTGTGCACTCAAAATGGCATTAACTATAGAGTTGATGCTGCGTCGCTTTTTGTGCTGAATCTCTCTTTTTCTGCTTTTTTTTCCTTCCAGATTCCTTTATGTAAAGTAATTAGATTTAACATTGACTACACCATTCATTTCATCGAGGAGATGATGCCTGAGGTAAGAAGGGTAATTAGTCAAAAGTCAGAGCTGTTGGTGTGTTTGATGGATTAAGGTCTACAGAATCCTCTCCCGTGAAGTCCGTCAGGGACTGGCTGTGTCCTGAGTGAGGGCCTGAAAGGGGATTTGCACTCACAAGTACTAGCACAAATCCGTCTACCCAGGATATCCTATGTTATAATCCAATATGAAGAACTGCTCATACCTGTAGCTTCTTTTCAGTTTAAGCTGCGCACCGTATGTGTCAGCTGTTCTACTTGAGAGGTGAGTTAGGCATTATCCTTCTTTTACAGATTAAAAGAAAAAGATGTATGCTGCTGAGGTGCTGGTTTGCAAGGAGCACATGAGTCAGTGGCAGAGCTGAAACTTTGTGAAGCCCAAATGATAGCTTACCAGTAGTTAATAAAACCTGGTGCCAAAACAAATTTCCTATGGATATAAACAAAGTAAATTCAGTTCATAATCTGTTTTTTATTACAAAACCAGTCTCTGATGAAGCCAGTTTGTGCAGTAAATTGCTGGCATGGAACAGCTGTGTGGGTAAAGAAATACCCCTGTATATTAACTACAAAGATAGGATCAGTGTTTAATTTAGTCACATATATTTACAATTTTTTCTAATATTCTCCTTTTCTTTTGTTGCTCAGCAGCAAATTTATCTAAGTATATGCAAGTATGCAAGAGCCCCAAAATTCCCTAACATTATTAATATGATCAGTCCAATTCTTTTCTTATTATTGAATATGCTGTGTAGTCTCCAAATCTTTCTCTAAAATAATAAATGGACAGTAAAAGAGGAAATTCGACTGTCTGAGTCCTCGTCCTTTAGCTGCAGCTACAACACTACTTGCAAACATTACTTACTAGAGCATTTGTGTGAAAGAGATTCTCATGTTGCATTGTTTGGTTTGGAACTTATGGAGAGCTTTATATACATCCAATTTATATCTAGCTGGTTTTGTTTTTTCAGGAAGACTTTTTAAAGGAATGGTTTCTTCATTTATGACTGAAAGCTGCGTGCTTTGGACTAGCTGCTTTCCCAGTTGATGAAAACCCCTTTGAAAAAATTTATTTTATTTATTTATTTTTCTGCTAGCTCCTAAGGTCATAGTCTCCTCAATCTGTGGTGTACCAGTTTGTTGCTGCAAAGGTGACTGTGATATCACAAATGGTTGTAAGTTACTAGAATGAACGTTTAGCAACAAGAATTATGAGAAAGATCCTTCTTAGAAGTATATCACCTCCTTAGTTTACTCAGTTGAAAGAGTTTTGGTGCTGGTGAATTATTTCATAGCCTCAATAATTTTTGGCCTGCAGAGTGAATTTGGACATTTAATTAAGTTTCCTCAGTATGTATTATGCATTGACAATGCTTTCTTAAGTGACCACTGTGTTGTATTGGATGGCTACAGATACATCTGTGATGCTGCCAAAGTCTAAGGTCTAAAGACTGGCAAATATGAAAAAACTTCTTTTTTCTTGATATATTTAACAAATTTTGAGTGGCATTATTTATATTGTAGTATTACATAATTACATCTGTCTTAATTTTTTTCCCTAGAATTTTTGTGTGAGGGGTCTTGAGCTGTTCTCTTCTTATCTATTCAAAGATATTTTGGAGCTCTATGACTGGAATCTTAAAGGTAACTATTTTACTTTGAAAACACAGAAACAGGTAATCACAGCTTTAGTAAATGGGCCTCTTTTTTCTTTTTTTTTTCTCCTATATAGGCTCAAAATAACAAAGGCAAATGCTGTTTTAAGTCAGAGGGACAGAGGAAGTTCTTTCTTGAAGAAGGTGAAATTAGCAAATTTCCCTTATGTGGGTTATGGAACAAAATACGCACAAATTTGTTATTGTGTCCTGAAACATAAACTCAACTTCTTCCTTAACCCAAAATCACAGTGAGGCAGTGTCGAGCGCCTCACTAAAGTGAAGAAGGGCAACATCCACTGCTCTCCTCTCGCCTACCCAATCAGACATGCCGTCACGGAAGGCTATCAGATTGGTTAAGTGAGACTTTTCCCTTGGTGAATCCGTGCTGGCTACTTCTGATCACCTTCTTGTCCTTCATGTGCCTAGAGATGGTCTCCAGGATGAGCTGCTCCATCACCTTCCCAGGGTTGGAGGTGAGGCTGACCGGCCTGTAGTTGCCTGGGTCCTCCTCCTTGCCCCTTTTGAAGACTGGAGTGACACTGGCTTTCTGCCAGTCCTCAGGCACCTTTCCTAAAACCCATGCGCTTTAAAAGGTGATGGAGAGTGGCCTAGCAGTGATGTCCACCAGCTCCTCTAGCACTCATGGGTGCATCCTGTCAGGGCCTTACACAATCTCTAACCCAGTCCTCTTCTACCAAGAGGGATCTTTTGTTCCTAGAGTCTGGGATTCCTGAGGGCTGGCCTTAGCAGTAAAGCAAAGTAGACACTCAGTAACTTTGCCTTTTTGGTATCCTTTGTCAGGTGAGTTCCTGCCCTATTCAGTTGTATTTCTCTAGAGGCAACTCATGAAAGTGTCATATAGACACCATACAGGGGTAAGTTGTAATTATAGCTGAATGTGACACCTTGGCAAGGTGAAAATTTATCTTCCTGATGAGACTATAGCAAAGGAGAATGTAAAAGATGAGCCTTTAACTGGTCTGAGAGAAAATCAAGAAAATTTCAAAGGAATTTCGTTTTAGAATCTGTAGATGTGTTTTGGTGTCTTGATTTTGTACTTCTTGTTAAATAGGTGAGCATGTAAGCGTCATGTATTTTGTTTGGTTTCCTTGGTTTCATACTAAATTTATTCTTTTTTTTTTATATCACTGATTTTGTTTGTAATTTTAACAGGTACATGTTATTTATTTACTTTTTTTTATCGTGCAAAGCTTTGGATAATGAAATCAGAAAGGAAAAACTGTAAAGTAACACTGGGATGTTTCATTGTTACCTCTGTCCATTATTAAAACAAAAAACTATTAATTAGGAGAGAATAATCAAAGCACCAGTGTTTGTGCTTATGTCTGTATTGTGTTGCGATCTGAATTCGTTGATTATATAAACAGATTTTTTTCTTTTCTGTGTCACTCTCTTAAATAGAACTGTATTTTTGTTTGAGTCTTATTTTTCTTTATAAAGGCTATCGCAGTTTCCTTTGAAATTGTCCATGGGGAAGCTTTCATTAGAAGCTGTTATTCTGTTGCTTTCTGCTTTGCATTTTACCACATTTCTGTATGAAACTTAAGCGCCTAATATTTATCAGTTCATAGTGATTTTATTTTGGACAGGGTTTCTGTCTTCTCCCTTCTTTGTTAAATTGCTATTTTTTTTTTTGCTAAATTGCTATTTTATTTATTTATTTATTTTTGTATTCAAGGTCCTTCGCTTGATAACGAGTCTACTTGCTGCCCCAGATTTCACTTCATGCCGCGATTTGTGAGATTTCTTCCAGGTAATGATTCTATTATATAGTTTTATGGAAATGACAACTTAATAAAAGGAGAAGCCTATTACAGGTGAAATGATTCAGTTGGTGCAGCAGCGTGGTGATTCCATCTGAATACCTAAAACACTGCCTGACGTTATGCTCAGATAGGCAGGACAAGGCTTGTGTCGACCCGGTCCTTCTCCTGCAGTGGAGCTGTGGGGTTTGAGGAGCATCATTTTCTGCTGTCACATATGAAACCATCTGTCGCCTTTGCTCTTCAGGATGTTGTGCCAAGTGATTATATAAGATTTTTGATACATACTTTGAGGGTCAGCACCTCTGAGCCCTGAGTTGTACTGATGGTTGATTTCTTTATCTTAATGCAAGTTTAGATCCTGCAGCTCACAGTGTAAGACAGAAAATAGCCATTTCGGTGTGATTCAACCCTAGCCTACCATCCAAGGACAAGCTTCAATATGAAGAGCATTATGCTCATTTTGAGTGATCAGCTTATGCAGGCATTTAACACATCCTAAGATAGTAAGACAGACTTTCAGTTGGTATAAATGTCATGGCTCCACTGCAAATGTGTCCTGCTGAGGTGCTGCTGGTGATTGCTCCAGTGGCTTGGGTGGGCAGGAGGAGATGTTCAGCTGCTGGGCTGGGGGAGCAGCTGAGACACGGCGCAATCTTCATCAGAAGGACCATGGCCTAGAGATGCACCCTGCTCTGGGCTTTGAAACTTAGTGGGAATATTAATTATAGCCGTAGCTAAATGAGGTTTGGCTAGCTACTGTGGAGAGCACTGATGGCTGCGTTTCTAATTGTTGTGCCTTCCTGGATGCACAACGCTATTCAGTCAGAAGCAGAGCTCTGAGGCTTGCTAGCAAGCATCGATTCGGTTCTGCTGAGGCAATTTACAAAATAAGCCATCAAGCCACATGTGGCTGATTAACTTGACCTCATCACGAAATGAAAACAAGTTTGACCTGCCTGCATTGTGTAGCTTGAGGGTGTTTTCCTGTTAGTTTGGGCTTTTATGTTCCATTTTGTTTTATTTTAGTTGGAAGTCACTCTTTCTGCGCTGTTAGATTGTTTATTGACGGGAGAGATAAGTCTCTGTCTGTGTGCTCCTGTCTGCTTCCTTTTTGAAGTCCCCAGCCCTTCAGCTCTTAACAAAAATGGCTTTTTCTTCCCCCGTTATTTTCTATGTTCTCTTTTAGCAATTTTATGATAAATACCTATTTAATCAAGTTTGCAATGCAGATAATTTATTTTCTGAGGTGTTCATAGAGATTATTAATTTCCAGAGAGTGTAAATCTATGTCCTTCAGGTGTGTTTACAGAAGATTATTTATCTGTATTTCTTCGAAGAAGATATATTAGTGCTATAGATGCCCATACATCCGTCAAGTGCCTCCTTAAAGATGGAAAAGAATTGCTGATTTCCCATCCCCTCTACTTTCCTTTCTAATTTTTCTCACACAGTGACAAGAAGCCCTGCTTTGTGATCTCAGAATTTGTGAGAGTTACTTGCAGACACAGACATTGGACTCAATCTGAGCTTTGAACTAATTGCATTAGATTTGCTGAGTGCCAAAGGTACAGCAAACACAGAATAGTTGTCTTTTTTTTTTTTTTAATGATGTGTATACTAGAGAGCAAGAGACTATAGAAGACTGTTTGACTTCACAAAGATAGTATGTTTTGACCCAAGGAAGGTCAGGTCTCTGAATTCCTGTTTAGCATGACTGTCCATAGCAAGCTCTCCTCTTCCTGGCAGTAAGTCACCTTACACATACTTTTTTATTGGTTACTGGACATGGGCTCTCTCTTGCTGAATGATATAAACTAGTAGTTGCCAAAAGTGTAAACAAAAATGTTCTAAACATTATTCTTTCTTTATTTCTAAGATAAACTTGACAATTTTTAAAAACTGTTTTGCTATTTAGGTGACCAATATGACATTCTCTTTCTGCCTCTGTAGATCTTCAGAAGTGTTTTCTCTCCTAATTCTTGCTTGGAATATATTTTCCCTTTGGTAGAGTCCACTTTGTAATTAAAGTGATGCTAAATGTTTAAGTGGTTGCTAAACCAACTTATATATCATTCTTCCTCATCTTTTCTATACTCTAGTGCTGTAATCCGAGTTAGAGAAGTGCATTTCCCTTCATGTTCATTGTAGAGGAAATCATTTCCCTTCATGTTCGTTGTAGAGGAAATCATCTTAAGCAGCACTGCTGTGTTGCAGCAGCTCAAAGAGGCTTTTTATATGTGCCTAATACCACATCCCCTGTGCTGTGTATTCTTCCCCAATATAATTTTTAGGCTTTATCCAAGTGTTCTTTTTTCTATTCTTTTTTGTGTGTGTAGTGTTAGGGAGAATGTACTCAGTGGCAGGACCAGATTGCTTCTGCTTCCTGTGGAGGGGAAATCAGTGTTTGTGCTTCTGTGGGCTTGAATTTACAAGTTGCCTCCAATATCTACTAAAGTCCCTAATAATTTAAGGGGGATATCTGAGAGATTTGTGACAAAATTAAAGCTCCAAGGCAGCATGTCTGTCTCTTTTTGGGCTGACATACTGAATTTGAATGGTCGGTATCTTCACTGGTCTGTCAAGACCATTGCCCGTTTGTCTTTGCTGTTTCTGTCTTTGCATCTGCAGCTGGCTGCCTGCAGCTAGTAGGGTGTTTATTACGCTGTCTTCCTTCACAACAACATCCTTTGCTGTGCGTGTTTCCTGGGGTCGCAGGAGTGTTGAGCAGTCTTCACCTGTCTTCATTCAGTTAGTGACAGAAGAGAGCATGAGACTCTTCAGTCTTCATTGCTGCAAGTATAGCACATAAGCACTACAGATGAGCTTGTAGTGCCAAGATAACTTAGTACATTCACTTAGGAGTATGCTGTAAAATTTTTGAGTGTTCCTTAAAAAAGCCACATAACTTCCTAAAAGGCTTTTTAATTGCTCTTATAAAAGGAGTGATGAAAGTGTGAAAAGGAAGACATAACTGGACAATGTAACCTGTTGTTCTGTCTGTTCAATTTAAAGTTATTCAGTTGGAAATTCCAGCTTTGCAGTATGATGAAACTGTTGATTTTGCTACCGCTACCATTATTGCCTCTAGTTTAGCAAAGAAGTGTTTATGTATCTGCACTATTCATCAATAAAACATTTGCCTTTTATTTGTCAAGTTGCTTAGCCATTTTGCATTTTATTTTGCTCATCTGAATATTTTTTGTTCTGTATATTTTCTCCTTTTCTAATACTTCAGGAGCAAATAACTGAAATGTGATTTTTTTGTTTCCCTTTCATTTTCTTTTTAAGATGGAGGGAAAGAAGTACTGTCAATGCACCAGATTCTTCTCTACTTGTTACGATGCAATAAAGCTCTTGTGCCTGAGGAGGAGATTGCCAACATGCTTCAGTGGGAAGAACTGGAATGGCAGAAATATGCAGAGGAATGCAAAGGGATGATCGTTACCAGCCCTGGCATGGTAGAGCAAATAATTCTGATTTATGAACAATGATGCATGCATGTTTTGTTTCAGAGAGTCTCCTATGGGCTGAATTGTAAGTGGAAAAGATGACTGATGACAGTTTGCAATAGGAGAAGTGAGTTGACTTGTTCCAGCCCTGGCAAGAATTGCACCCTCTGCCTTCCTACTGAAGGACAGGTTTCCAGATGAGCCCTGTTTAAATGTGCACATTAAATGAAATAGCCATATTTTAATTATGTGAAACCTTAGTTTGCCCCTCTGCTTTCATATTCTTTATGACAGTCTTTATCTGCATGATCACATTCTGTTTTCTGTGATGTAGGCCCAGAGAATTAGTAATTATTTTAGCTTTTCTTTCATCTTCCTCTTTTGAACCCCAGCTCTATTTAATGTGCTCTATCCGGATTCTGCCCTGAATAAGTAAAAGGTCTTTTCTGCCTGTATGTTTTTTCATCTGGTTGCTATGCTGCTCTCACTCATACCAAAGAATTTCATGTGTATTAATGAATGCATCCATTAATTTTCAGTGCCAAACTTGAAACCTCTATAGTTTTATTATTTTTGGAAGAGTTAGTATTTTAAAGCATATGTTCTCAGAACATAGCTCCTTTCCACTCCAGTATTTATGCAAATTTAGCCCATTTTTCTGAATTTCATACTCTGAAAATGAGCACAAGAATAAACAGTATCTACTAAGAACTGCAGGGTTTTATATACGTAATTTGGTCAAGATCACAACGATGGCATGTCAGCAGTAGAGGTGTATCTTAGACTTCATATTTTAGACAGTCATCTGGCTTACTCAATTGTAAGACCTTTTTCCCTTTTTTTTTCCTCTCTCTTTTTTTTTTTTTTATTTTCCTCTCCTCTCCCCAACTTCATTCATTTTCCTTCCTTGCTAGTTGCACAATTTCTCAACTTGTCCTGAAAACCTAAAAATCTATAACCTGGAATCACTCCTAAAGGGAAATACAGTTTGCTTACTGAAAAACCTGTCTCCTCATTTTACCAGAGGTGGTTAAAATTAATTCTTAAATCAGAATGTCATAACAGAAATTGTTAGGTTGTTTTAACTATTTAACTTAATGTTCCCTGTGGCCTTCATGGACTCCTCAGTACAAGGGACAAGGTAGCATAGCTTCATTTGCTGAAGCTATGCTGATTTCTGCCACTAAAAACTTGGTCTTTTTTGTTATTTTTGTATATTCTAGTGTAAAGTGCATATAATATGCTCCTTTTTTACATGAGTGAAAGACCTGTAAATATCTTTATGCACAAGACTGCACTCTGTGACTGCTAGTGTTAGTTGTAGGATTTTGTGTGATTTTTACCAAACTTAGCATTCTACAATACATATTTTTTAGAGATATAGATGGATATCAAAATATAAAAACATGAAAGAAATTTTCAACACTTTGAAAGAGTCATATTATAATGCTGTCTTTAAAAGGCGTTTTTCCTCTCAAGAAGGTTGTAGTGATTTTTTTTTCTCCTTAGTCTATGGATTTTTTTTTCAGTTGAATGCAGCATGTTTTGTTGAGTATAAACGTAAGTGAGAAATAGAGAATGAAAGTATTTTCTGTGCATCTTACCGCATGTTATAAGATGAAACAGTTCTATTATGGAGACAATGTGAAACTGTTTTATAAAATGACAGCTCTTCAATTCAATTTTATCTACTTGACACAATGAAGTAAAACACTAGATTTTATTTTGCTGCTTTCCTCCACAATACCACTTCAGAAATAATAATTTCTCCTGAGAACAGATCCAGTTTTTCTGAACGTGTTGCTTTATTTTAAAATGTGAGGTGTACATATGCACAATGGAGAAAAGAAAAAAATGGACAAGTATATAAATCTCATTTACTTAAACAACTAACAGTAGATCTGCATTACTTAAAACAGTTAAATATGTTCATAGTATTCTGTTAGTTCTTGGAAACTTTGTTTGGGAAGAGATTTAAAGGTGAATAGATTTTGATCTTAATATGTTACTCTTCTAAAATGCTGCTGCTTTTTTTTTTTTTAATTAGTAGATGCATATATATGTATACATCCATACTCGCATGTATATTTATATATTTTAACACACTTTTGTACTACATCTATGTCTAGTCCCACCATGCCTTTTTTTTTTAACAAGGAAAGCCTTGACAAGCTTTGGAGTAGGGAACAAAGATAATGGGTCTCTGCTCCATTAGAATTTCCTTCTTTTGGGTGAGATATTAAAAGCATGATTCTGATTGTTTGTGGTTTGCTATGGCACTCTTGAGAGAGCGATAAAAATCTGAAGAAAAAAAAATGCATTTTATTTGTAGTCTCTCTCCTGGTACATAGTTTATACTGTGTTTGTGTATGGTGCTACTTAGGCTTAATTTTGTTTGTTTAACCTTCAGAAGCACCACAGAGATGAAACTGGTCTTCACTGTGCTAAAAACTTACTATGTTTAAGTTGAGCGTCTCCATAACCATCAGGGACGGAACAGTTGTAATAAATCTTTAACAAGGAGGTCTTTGTCCTGGTTGTTGTTTGGCATTTCTTAAGAGCCACATGACAGAATGCCCAAACACAAAGACGGAGCCATCTAAGTAAACAAAAAGGGTCCAGTTTTAACTGATGCTGAGCCCACACATTTTGCACAGGCCTTGGAAGCTCCCCTCCATGTCCCACCTCTGAGATTCAACATTCTTCTGTGTAGGTGTCTGAAATGTGGAACATTTGAATAGAAAAGTGTTGGCTGTACTTCCTTAATACATTGATTCTAATCAATATATTGAGGGTAGTGATTGCCGGTTATCCTGTTAATCAGCTTTTGCCGCCTTTGTTTTCAGAAAGATCACTGTTACATAGTAAGGCGGGCTCTGTGTGTGTATATGTGCATGCCTGAAAAAGAACACGGGTAAAAAATTCTTCTTTTCTAATATTAGAATTCACTGTCCCATTCCTTTTTTATTGGAAATACTGTCTGGAAGAACTATTCTTTTTTTTATTAGCTTGCATGGGCAAACTGAATCTTGGATTGCTCTATATAATCAGTTGGATAGATGAAACTTTATCTTTTGTCATCCTGTCAAAAGGGAAGTTGATAAGCCCTTCTCCCCTTGGAAAACATTTATCTGAAAAGTCAAAGTTTTAGATAAGTTTTTCAACAGTAGAGGAGTCATTTGGCCACCTGAGGAGGGTTACCTTTCCTTCCAGAATTGCCTTCATTTATCCATGCAGAAAATTATTTCTGTAAATAGTTCTACAAAGGTGCTTTGAAGGATTAAAGCTTTGTTCTCGACACGGTTTGTGGTGTTTTGTTAGAAGAAAGTCTGAAACTCATCTTTGAGAAATTCTCCATGCTAAATTGACAGTTTTGAGATGCAGGTAACCAAAAGTAATGCCCTTTTTCTAGAACTTTAGACAAGCAGAAAACATTGGCTTCATCCAGCTGATTGCATGGTGGGGCGTAAGCAAGCACATAACAAAGCAGCTTGCAAGGTAATGGAGAACGTGTTTACTTGGAGACAAACTGTGCACCTTCAACTGAGTTGTTAAATATGTTCGGTAAGCAAACGAGAGCTCTGCAAGCAGCAGGTCTCTGGCAGTGATGTGTAATTACTCATTTTCTGCATTTCTAGAGGTGAAGTGAAAGTTGCCTCCTTCTACACTGTCCTTTTAAATATAAAGAGAACTTCAGTTTTGAAGTATAAAAAGGACAAAAGTCTTCCTCATTATACAAGACTGTGTTCCTTCCTGTATGTGTCAGCCTAGGAGCCTTTTCTAAGAGTGGCGTGACAGGTTTTTATGCCACTTAAGTCTCTGTGATTGAATGGATCTAATAAAGGATTTACTTACGATGGATATTAGGAATAGAACTAAAACTAGAGGGCTACCTAGTGAAATCCTCAGAGGTGTGGGAGCTTGGGTACCATGACGCTAAGCCTGATGTTATTTCCAGTGTGATTCTTGATCAAGGAAAAGGTGCTGTAAGTTCTCAGAAAATAAATAAATATATTTCTGCACTTGTAAAATGAAAATAAAATGGCTACCTTTTCTTTTCCAGAGGAAGTCAAGTCAGTTAACTTTGATTCAGTCACTGCCATTGGCAAATATTGACTGTGGTACAAATGATAAATTTTATGTTTATTTTAATAAGCTTGGAGTTCTGCTGCTTCTTGCTTCCTGGGCAGTATGGGCAAGGGACTGTACGTTTTCCATGGAACTGTTGTTAATTAGGTGAATTTTGTTTTCCTCCTAGAAACCCAGCTCAGTTCGTATTGATCAGCTGGACCGCGAACAGTTCAATCCTGATGTAATTACTTTCCCCATTATTGTCCACTTTGGGATACGACCTGCTCAACTCAGTTACGCTGGAGATCCTCAGTAAGATGCTTTTTCTTCAATCTCTTGTTTGGAAATTAATTACTGCTGTCATTTGTGGCTTAAACAGGGCTTGTTTATGTGCTTGTTGAGTCCCATGAAAAGCTTAGTGCTTTTGGAATTGGACACTAGCTTTTGTAAATTAGAGAATGTGAGGTATAATTTATTTTACTGGTTAAATTTGGGATTTTCCTTTGTAAACTTCAGTTTTCTGAAGCAAGTGTGCACGCACAAGCAATATTAAATTGAGAATATTTCTGAAGAAATATTTGGAGAACAGCCCTTCTAGGTCAAACTGAAGGTTTCTCTAGTTCCATGTTGTTACTCTCAGTGGGCAGTGAGGGATTTTTAAGAGGAGAACAATGTAACAAGAAAAGCAGAAAAAATGAAGTATTTCCCCACATGCCCAGAAGTTTGTAGCATATGAACTTCAGAGCTACAGGATTTTTTTTTTTTTAACTGCTGTGAGTGGATCTTTCTTTGTCTGAAATCACTGTTTGAATTTATGCTAGTGGCAGTCAGAAGGTTGCGGATAATCCTTTCCCCAAGACCGTGGTGCACTGTATGAAAAAGGACTTTCACTTATGTTAGGGCTCTACTTGATCATTGTATTAGGTGCTCTACGGGTCTTGTATCTAATAATGAATAATATAGCAATTTTCTGTTTGCTTTCTTTGTGCCATTGTGCTTTTATGCACTCTGTCATATATTTCTAAGTTTTCTCTTTTTATGACTTGAGAGGTCAAGTCGATTTCCTGTCTCCTAGCTCAGAAGCTGTTCCATCGCTGACGTTTTTCACTCTACCTGTTCCATCCTTACAGAACTGGGGAGAAGAGTAGGGAAGGAGCAGTGAGGGAACCAGAACTTCAGACAGATGAGAAGATACTGCTTCACCATGGATTTGTATGGTGGCCTAATAGGGATTGCTGTTGTTGTTGTTGTTGTTGTTTTGTTTTGTTTGCTTTTTGTTCACAAGTGTTTTCCTAATAATTTCTGTTATTTTTCAAGGAACTCTCCCATTGATTCAGAGATCTCTTTTCTGAATGATAACAGAAATACAGAACCCCTCTCTGTGCATGTATAATTAAGTGTTTTTGTCCCTCTTGCATTTTCCTCCGGTGTCATTTATTGATATTGACTTTCATCTGCCATTTTCTGCTCTCGTCACTTATGTGTTATTATAATGTTTTAAGCTCCTTGCAGTGAAATTTCAATTTACAGTCCTGAATAATTTTGTATCATCAGCAAATTTTTACGTCGCTCTTCACTCCTGTGGTTGTCAAGGATCATGTTGGAGCTGTCTTTCATTTAGAGAAAACTGCACTTTCTTGGCTGTGAAGGCTTCAAACTCAGCAATACTGACTTTGCTAAATATTCTGCATGCTTTCAGTCCCTTTGATAGGTTAAAAACAGGGAGGAAACTTGTATGGGACTTTAAATTTATGTGTTAGTTGGCAGGTCAGTTACAGGGTTGGGAAATAGGAAAGCAGTCAGCTTGTTCAAATAACAGAACGTTTTCTTTTTGCCTTTGGGCATGACTTTAGCTTTTCTGTCCACAAATGGAGAATAATTAGACAAAAGAATATAAGAAAATACATCCCTACCTCTGTTTGTTTTTTGATTTCTTAATGTTCGTAAAATTGTAATATCTTCCATACAAGGCAGTATAAAAGTGCAAAGATTATTATTCTCACATTTTTTATTTTTTACTTTATTTACTTTATTTAAAATCTTCATTTTTCCCTTCCCTTCCCTTCCCTTCCCTTTTCCCCCCTTTTCTCTCCTTTTCTCCCCTTCCCTTTTCTCCCCTTTTCTCCCCTTCCCTTTTCTCCCCTTTTCTCCCTTTCCCTTTTCTCTCCTTTTCCAAAGCGGCATAAGGAATATAGATGTGCTGCTTCTATTGAAATAACAGAGTGGTTTTTGTGGAAGACCTCTGCATTGTCATCATAAATCTCAGGCTTAGCTTTGATGTATGTGTGATTTATGCAGAGTTCAGAAAAGTATTTCCTCTAGTATTTCTTTCCTTGATGAGCTTCTGATGCACTGCATCTGTTTCTGCTGCCTGTTTGTTTATCATTATTCTCACTGCAATAACAGAGTTGGTTGGATCCATATTAGTACCAATAGCAAAATCTATATTGCACTTCATAGACTCTGGTTCTCCTTCTTGGGCTGAAACTTTTTCACGGCTTTTGCTTTTTTGGTTGGTTATCTTATTTGTCCTCTTTGGATGAGGATTCATCAGAAATGGATGTTCTACAAAAAGCTATTTTGCAGCTTGCAGCAAGGCAGGAAGTTGTCATAAGAAAAATCTATGGATTACTCGTTTAAGATGTGTTTGTAAACTCTAAGGACACCAAAATCTCTTGAGACAGAAAATACACATTCAAGAATGGTGTGGATAAACAGCTACAGCAAATGCCAATAAGAGACGTGTGTGTGTGCAAGCACGTGTGCCTTTTAGAGTGTAGCATCCTGGAAAGGTATTAAATCCATTCAATGGTTTGTCACTAATGTGGGGACTGCCCACTAAAACCACTGATACAAGATGGTGCTGAGGATTATCTCCTTATAATATAAAAGAAAATAAATTAAGTTCTTCCCTCCGTCCCCAGAAGTCTGCTTTTTTGTGGGTTTTCTTGAAAATTTCTGTAGTTTATGATTATCTTATGATTGTAGGCTTGTTTCCTGAGGAACCAAGGCTCGCACCATGCTCGGCCACTCCTCCTGTAATAACTCTTGAACCTAATAGTCAGTTGGAACCAGATACAATGGTGGGGTGTAGTCTATGAACGGACTAAGGGCTTAGCAGATTTATGAAAGCGGATGTTGTGTCACAGAGGAGAAGGTGCAGTCATTTTGGGTCACATGCAATTAGACATCCCCGTAATATGAAATAAGTAGACAGTTACTGCAGAGGAAAAATAGAAGCCTGATGTATATCCTAAGTGCTGCAGAAGCTTCTCTTGCAGGCTCCATTCAGCACAAAACCATAGGGATTCAAGCTTTGTTCTTTCCCTGTTCACAGAGTGCCTGCGTGTTGCACCTGCCTTGCAGAGACTTTCTCCCTGTGCTTCACCAACATGTTTCAGCCAGGGTAGGACAGGTTACTATTTCTGTTCAGCAAGTGATAGGTGAAACTTCTTTTGAGAAGGGGGAGTTCTCATATTTGACAACTTGAAAAAGTGCTCCCCCCAGATTTTTGCAGCGTCCACATGGAGGTGCCCTGGGCCAAGCGTTTGCAGTTCATGGGGGTGACCCATTGGCAAGGGTGGGTGTCTGGGAGACACCAGGTCTACCCTTGAGCTCTGCCATCCCAGCCTTGCGCCCGTCTGCTGCCGCGTCCATAACGCTGGGGCAGACACAGTAGTGTGGCGGCCTCTCTTGGAAAATGCTTTGAGATTTCTCTGGAGCAAAAACATACCTGTAAAAAATCTGTGTAAATAAATTATTGGTATCTGAGATGTTCATACGGCCAAGCTGCAAGAGTGTTTTGTTGCATTGACCAAAATACTTGTTTTCTCTTTCTGTCTTTCAGATACCAAAAGCTGTGGAAGAGTTACGTGAAGCTGCGGCACCTGCTGGCCAACAGTCCCAAAGTCAAACAGGCCGATAAGCAGAAATTATCGCAGAGAGAGGTATGATGGCCCTTCTGTAAACAATAGTTGATCACAGATTAAATAAAATCATATGACTGCCCTTTATGAAAACACTTGAAATCCTTCAGAAAAGATTGTCTTTTCAAGCTGTTGCACTGACTTTATTTTTATCCTTTCCTGTTAGTGTGTGGCCATAACTTCTTTATAATCATTGTCATTAATGATTCCAGGAATTAGTACAGACAATAACTTATTTCAGACAGCTCTTTTAAGTGTCTCATAATTTTAAACATTTATCGTAAGAAAGAAAACTGTTACACTCGTGCAACCTTTTAAACTGTAATTTATTAGGCAGCCTTAGTGAAATTCTTTAATATCTGGAGTGATGGACAGAAACAACAGAACTCAAATACATACTCTTTTTTAAATCATTTTCAGTAGTCTTTAATAGCGAAGTGTTTGTTAAAATTGATCTTTATTTTTTTTCCCCAAAGTGATGTATAGTAAGCAATTCTCGAGTGCACATGCTCAACCCATGTGAAATTAAAGTTAGCAAAATAAAGTCACCTAAATATGGACTAACACAACCTGCTCCGAGATACCCATCTTTTAACATCCTGCACTGAGCACTCGTGCAGTGCATCAGGCACTCTTAATTGGACAACTTATATAAAGGGTAAATGGAGGAGGAAGAAACTTTGTTAATATAGAATAAATCTAATGAAGTGATATTGTATTATTTATTTATTTATTACAAAGCCGGATGCTTTTTTGAGTTTTCCCCAGCTTGCTAATTCTGTTGCTGTGGTTGCAGTAGTTGTTCAATATATTTGACAGTTCACCTGATTTTATTATTACTGTAAAGCATAGTGTGCTGTTCCATGAGCAAGGGGCTTAATTAGCGATTTATTTATGTTGGTATTAAATAAGCCCGAACCCCTCTATTTTTTTTCCTATGTAAATGAGAAGAACCACAATATTGAAACTCACCTGTGCCACCACTTAAAGGAGAAATTGATTTTTGTCCTTAAAGGAGGTGTTTTTCCTTAGCTACAGCTTTCCATGCTCGGAGATCAAGTGGAGGGGAGGGCTGTTGTTATGAACATCTCTTCATTAGTGGCTAATGGATGACTTACTTTTAAAATTGTAGTGCATAGGATGTAGGAGGGCGAATGTGTTTTGTTGTGAAAAAATAAATAATGTTCCTTTGGTATTTACTGCTTACTCTAGTGCTCTGACTTTTGCTCCTAGACTGTATTGTTTAGAATGATGGGTTTCTCCAGTAATTGCCTGCCATCAGAGAGATGTACAGGACTGAAGTAAAAGCTTTATGTGAAGATAACTTATGCACTGTGACACTGGAGGTGTCAGTAACTTGGTAGGAGCTTTAAGGTGCATCTGACTGGCACGTGGGCGTTTCACAACTATGAATTATGCTCGTGAGTAAAACCAGAGTGTTCCTGAGCCGGTGAGCATGCCCACGAAGGGTCAGTGTAGCAAACGCCAGCGCCTCTCTCAGAAAGCACCCAGTGGCTTGGTCTCCAAATGCAGGTTTTGGGCAATGCATAACAGGTGCAGTGCCATAAGCATCTCTCTTTGCCCTGCTATCCATCACTCGTTTCCTCATGACCATTTGATGTTATCTGTGACAGTGTCATTTCTCAGGGCTTTATTCCTCTAACCTAACTTGGAGCACTTACAAGAGGAGCATAAATTGGGAACCTGCTACCCTCACGCTCACTATGAAGTCATTGAAGAAATGTGTTTTTTGAAGCAGTTTATCCCCTTTCCTTGGTTTAAAAGGAGCCTGAGCTAGCTAACCTCCTACCTTAGACACTTCAGGAGAGTGCCCAGAAATTAACCCTGATTAACCTACCTGTGGGTAGGTCACCACTTTTGTGACACTATCCTGGAAGTCTCTGCAGAACAGGAAACAGAGGTGCTGCCCGGAGGTACTCACGAGCTTTCCTTTGGGAGCTAGGACAGGCTGCTTTTAACACGTGCACTGCAGTGGAGAGGTGAGGGAGAGAGAAGACAGATTTCAGCTTTGGAAACTTTCTTGTTCTGGAGAAGCAAAACCGCTAAGAAAAAAAAAAAAAAAGTCTTTACTGGTAGTGTATGAGGCGTGGGGGAACTTGTATTCTTTTGCTTTGTAGTTCTGGAACCTAAAATCAGGCCGGGAGGTCTGATAGGTATGTGACTTACTGTTTTTTTAAGAAAATAATTATAAAAAATGCTTAGGTCCTTTGCATAATTAACAGACATGAATAAGCTGAATATGCGGAGTATGAAACTTGCTGTAGTCAGGGCAAACCAGTCTGTTAAATATTTGACTTTTTATATGATATGAGTAGATATGATCTAGGCTGCAGAACTAGAGCTTTCATGGTAAGGACCTTAGCTTACTTGCCTATGTATCCTAATGGAGGTACAAGTAGGATCGGCTTATGTCATTTTTGGAACAGAAACTCCCCTGTGTCTAACAAAATTCCCTGCTGTCTGCAAATCCACCATGTTCTTGTGGCTGATTGTGCAAAGATTTGAGCTAGTCTTGATGATTCCCTGAAAGCGAACCCTCAACAGGTACTGTGAGCAGCCTCCTGCGTGGTTTGTTCCTCCTCATGGGCTGCCCGTATTCTCGCTGTCCAGGAGGCGCTGCAGAAGATCCGGCAGAAGAACACGATGAGGCGTGAGGTGACTGTGGAGCTGAGCAGCCAGGGCTTCTGGAAAACCGGGATTCGCTCCGACGTCTGCCAGGTGACTAAGCCGGGGGTGATGCATTTTCTTTGTCAGTAGCTGCCACTCACCTCCTGCACAGCGGATGCTCAGCTGAAGAAGCAAACTCTGGAAATTAATGCTTTTGCCTTGACATATTTTTGTGCTTGAGGAACTACTATAGCCACAGAAGAAAACTGTTTTTTCGGCTCTGTTTTTAGTTCCTTGCACTGGCCAACTATTTGATTGATTATTGCAAAAGGGTGGCCAGGAATGGGCAGTCTGGGCTTGACTTTTGGGATGCAGCAACCTTGACTTATATCAGTCAAAATCTGAGCCTCATACTGAACTTTTAGGCAGCTTCTTTCATTCAACTGGATGAGTTTTAGGTATTTTTATTTTAGGTGTATTTCTATTTTGAGATTTATTTATTTATGTATTTTCTGTGAAGCATAAAGGCTAATATTTTTATATAAAAGGAAAGTTGAGGAGACTTACAGTTCTTGTGGTAAGCTGTATCTATATTTACAAGTTAAGTCAAGAGTGTAAATTTCTCATTCAGGAGATTTGACACAGTTCTCTGTGTTATTCATAATACCTTCTGTGAATTATATTTTAATGTATTAATGTTGATATTCCTGTTTGCTGTTGAAAAACAACAAATCACTGAAGAGCAGTGAGCTATTTCATTTTTTTTTGCGCACATCCACAGCCATAACATCTAAGCCAGCCAGTTTCGATACGAAAGTCATTTGATTTGGTTTCTTCGAGAGGTCAAGAATAGGCAAACTGTGTATCTGTAAAATGAAAGATTAGTATTGCTGTTACCTGTGTTCCCCAGATTATAGAAGGATTAACACTAAATACGTGTAAATCAACCCTGTGGGCAGAGCTAAAGTGCAGTGATTCAGAATTATTGGCTTGTTTTAACTTTCAGAATTATTGTATTTTAAGATTGAAACTTTTAAGCCACGGAAGCACTCTGATGCTTCAGAGCTGCTCCATGGTTCATGCAGCAGTAATAGCACTTGTCCTCCTGGTTTGCAAAATGAACCACTCAAAGGGGAAGGAAAAAAAGGGTGAGCAAAATGTTCTGAAGATGGAAAATGGCTCAATTCCGCCAGACTGGCTTACAGTTATCCGTGCGTTGGGCCACCGTTAGCAGCGCAGCCTGGCCGTGCCGGGCCTTGCGGAGACGATCCCGCCCCAGCGCGGCTCTCCGCTGCCCGCACTGCTGCCGTCGCGCCCCCGGCGCTCTGGGTTAGCGCAGAAATGATACATTTCAAAACACTTGAGCTTGCCTGGCTCTTTCGGGAGCTGCGGCTCAGGGAGCGACCGCCTCGGCCTTCGCGCTGGCAGCTCTGAAGAAGCGGCCGTTGGCTGCGAGCTGGGGGGATGGCGACACTGCCGGGAAGCCCGGGAGACCCCACTGCCTCGTGCCTTAACTGGGGCAGGAAAAGAATACACAGCACGGATAAAAGTACACGTACCAAATAAAATGGCTGATACATTTATAACCACGTTCAGGTGCCAAGGCACAGCCCCTGTGGCCTGTTGCTGTGTGGCTTCGGGAGAAACTGTTTTAGATCACTAGCTGTTCTTCAGTGCAGTACATTTTTTTAAAGCATGTTGTTTTACAGTTTGTTATAAGGAGATAAATAAAACATCGGAAACATCAAATAGTTATAATCCAACATGACATACATTAATTGAATCAATCAAGTATTTAGTGCCATGAAAGCAGTGCTTTGTCGATACAGCTGCAAGAGTCAAGTTAAAGACCTCCTGGCTGGCTCCTGAGGATATATCAATTCCTCACTCACGCCACCACCACTGGTAAAATTGAAAACTTGGTATTCCAGATCCTCAAACTTAGGGCCACATATGTTGCTTGCTAAGTATGAACAATATTAAAATATGCCAGAGGAACTGTGGGATTTTGTTTTGTGTTGGGATCTCTGCAATCGACCATACAGACAGAGAAGTAGAGTTGCCCGATGAAGTAATGATTTTTCTTTTACTAGCCTAAAACTGCGGGTTTTGTATGAAAAAGGAAGGTCCAAGCAGCTAGTGTCATTTTAGAGTTGCCCGATGAAGTAATGATTTTTTTTTTACTAGCCTAAAACTGCGGGGTATGAAAAATGAAGGTCCAAGCAGCTAGTGTCATTTCGGTCATGGCTTGTTGAAGCTTGATCTTTTTTGTGACCAGATATCCCTTTATCACATTCAGAGTAACTCAGGAGCAGATTGGCTTTCTTTGCTTTTATCTTGGTTTGTTTCCTTGCAGTAGTTATGCGGATGGATAAAATCTAATTTACTTAAGTGTTTGGCTGATGAGGAGTGGAAAGCTATGAATTTTTTTTTCTCACTTAAACCAAAACAAAATAGATTTCACAGTGTTGTGACAAATAGAACGTATTTCTGTTTGTAGCTCAGTCTGCGAGTTGTCTGTGCACTGAAATTGAATGCTTTTACTCACTGGAATTCCTTTTTTTTTTTTTGTTTATTTTTCTTTAGCATGCAATGATGCTTCCTGTCCTCACCCACCATATTCGCTACCATCAGTGCCTGATGCATTTGGACAAATTGATAGGCTACACTTTTCGAGATAGGTGCTTGCTGCAGGTAAGATCTGCAAAAAAAAAATGACTTGCTGTTTTTATCTTCCTAAAATTATTGAGTTTGGCCATAGTCCTGCTTGCTATGCAATTTCGTAGAAATGAGTTGCTATGCTATAACTTAAAAATGCCTGGTTATTTGCTTGGCAGATCTTTCAAAAGTTTCAGTTGTCCCAAGAGTGCTTTAAATAAATTGGACATCTGACCGTGCATGTAGGCACGCTTCTTTTCTCAATGGTAATAAGTGTATTTGCCTGCAACATGTAGAAAGACAGAAATACACTTACTGAAAAGATTAGCAGATACCTTACTCATTATTTCCTAGTCAGTTCTTTTATTAGATAGCTGTGAAAAATATTCTTTTTCTGCATATGAGTCCGAATGGCTTGTCTTCCTTTTTTAGTTTGTTGTTCCAAGAAAAAGAATGACTTATGCGTTGCCTTTTTTTTTTTTTTTTTTTTTTTTTACTTTGTGTTTGTAAATAGTGTAAAGGCATTTGCTAGCTTCCGTGTAGAATTTGCAAGATTCTGTTCCTCTTTTGCTTTCTACAAGAACATAGCAAAATTTTCATATTTACAAGCAAGGACCAAGAACTAGAGAGAAGCGTTTCTTGTTTGTTTTAAATACATCTGTGTTGCCTCTCTGGTGACAAGTTGGACTTACGGAAGTGCATTTTTGGAATTGGCTGGCTCTAGAAAGTTACTCTAGACACAGGTGACCCCTTTGTCTTCCATTTCTTCCAAAGTTATTGAGGGACACTCGACTTTTGTTCTGCATCTCCTCCAAAAGAGCTGGTCTCTCCCACTGTGGATGGAGCTTGGATGGATAAATTTTTCCTAACTTCAAAAAGTGCATTTGTTTGTGCTAATGAGGTTTCATTGCCCCAATATTCTGTGTTAAGTAAATCAAATCTTACTGAGAAATAACTGAGAACTAAAAAGTGTGGTGGAAGAGAAAATTCATGAGTTTGGAGGATGAAGTCACAAAAGGCAAATAGTTCTGTTCCCTGCTGCCATTTTTATAGTGTCAGCAGTAGAGAAGTAAGCTTTTGATAGTGGTAGATAGTACAAGTGTATAACTAAAGACCAATCCTTCCCTTGCTGTATGCTTTCATTTCAAGAGGAGGCCTATATCCTATGGGGTTATGAGGAAGAATTCTGTTGTATTTGTGTCGGAAATAATGTGCTTGTTTATTGTTGCTGTTTTTTGAAGTTGGAAATTTTTATTCAGTCAAATATGTGAACAGCTGGGACACTTTTTATTTGTCCAATTTTTAATATGAATATTCATGCTGCAACATTAAAAAGAAGATATGTTTAAGTAAGCAAACATGGTTGTATTTAAATTAACTCAGCCAAGACGGTAAGCAGAACCTCTAGGGTGAATTGACAGTTCGTGCTTTTTTTCTTCAAAACTAATTTATTTCTTTTTTTGAAAAAAGTTGAAAGCTAATTAGTTAAAGTGATGATTGGGCATAAATATTGCTTCTTTCTGACATTTGAAATAGTACATCCTACATTTAAATTGCAGAACGAAGTTACTAATTGACAACATTGCTTCATTGCTTTTCTGCAAAGTAAAAAAAATAACTGTTATTAGCTACCACTCCAAGCTTTTTCCTGGATTTGCAAAAATATATCTAAGACTTTTTTTGTCTTTGCATGTGTTACATTATAGCTTGCCATGACTCATCCAAGCCATCACTTAAACTTTGGAATGAATCCGGACCATGCCAGAAATTCCTTATCCAACTGTGGGATTCGACAGCCAAAGTACGGAGACAGAAAAGTTCACCATATGCACATGAGAAAAAAAGGTATACAGTTACACCATTGCCTTTTACCCTTCTCTTGCACTTACTCAGTATGAAAAGCTTCTGTTTGTTACTGTTTTGCTGGCCTTTGCTCTTCTGAGATTTTTTTTGTAGAGGATTTCAAAGGTTATACACAGATAGCAGTAAGATCTTTCTAAATAACTCCTTTTGCAAATTATTCAATAAATTTTTAGGTGACAAAAAGCTAGAATAATGAATTAAAAATTTTATGTTATTTTGATTTTTGGCATTTTTATGATTTGCTGTGCAACATTGTGAGTATACTGGAGGACATATTTTTAAAAATACTGGAGGATATATTGTAAAAAAAAAGTTATGAAAATATGTCGTCTGTCTGTTGCAGAATACTCTTTATCCCTTAGAAGTGTGATCAGCTCTAATGATGCAAGTTCTTTATTATTTGTGTAATGTTTGGAATGTCTTTTTCATGCCAAGGTGGTATTTTTACCTGGCTCTCTGAACGCAATATTGCAAAAGCAGCTTGTAATGGGAAGGCTGTCAGTTAGGCAGAGAGCATCTGTGAGGATTTTACCTGCTGTAAGTAAAGCCTGTAAATAACAGAATGATCTTATCCATAGCATTTGCAAAGTAACATGTTAAATAATTAATTTTAAGCCCATTCAGATTGAATTAGTGGTTGTTTATTTAATTGTGCATTGTTTATATTTGTAGGGATAAACACATTGATAAATATTATGTCACGTTTGGGACAGGATGATCCAGCTCCTTCCAGGTAATGAAAACAATAGGCTTTAGGTTTGTACGTGGTCTGTTGTATGGTCTGTTTGCAAGCAGGGAAACTTTTGCAGAGGGAGAGGTTTAATAGTATCAGCCAACCTACTGGCAGCAACAACTTTGGCAAATACATTAAATGGAAGGTGATTTGAATAGCCTTATATTTTCTGAAAATGTGCTTTCCTCAGTGACATGATTGTGCCTGCAGAAAACATGCAAAGAAGCTTTTTGAAGGTAGAAGGTAATTCTACTGTTCCTACTTGGGTGCCTGGAAATGAGGAAGACCAAAAGTCTACCTTTCACTTGTGCAAAATGAAAAATAAGATTTGTAATTGTTGTTACCACTGATGTAGACTTGATTCTCTATCACCTTCCCTCACAGTTAGTATCTTCCTAGCATGGCACTGTTTTAATAAGAATGTGGTACCGACTGTGGACTTGAAAGATGCACTGGTCCAATTTAAAGACAGATGCATAAACAGCTAGGGTTGAATAAAAAACTCTCAGGAATAGTGTAAGAAACAGTTGTGTGTTAAAGCTCCTAAGTTCCTGAAGGAGGGGATAGAGCATACGCTAGTTAACTCGTGCTGTAACTGGAGCTTTTGAAAGAGTCATCACTTTGGAGGAAGCTAGGGAGCAGGAGAGGTTGAATTCTGAACAAATGGTTGTTGTAGTGTTCCCTAATGCTGTTTCAGCTAGATGGTGCCCTCTTCCTTGAGGGTCAGCTTCAAAGCTTGCTTCAGCTCTTCTAAGACAATGTGAGGTAAGGCTGAATTGTGTTAATTCTCACAAAATAATGCACAAATATCAAATCCTGCTTCTGAGATCTGCGTTTGCTACGCTGCCCCTGCAAAGAGGAGTTGGAGAATAGCTCACACTTGATTGTTTTATGCAGCAAAGGTACTTGAATTCTTTCAGCCCCTAAACAAAGGCCTGCTATTTCTCAAGTTAGATGAACTAGATAATTACTAGGGGAGTGCAAATTGCAATAAAAGCTGTCAACCACTTGAGGAGGATTAAAAAAAATCCTGTAGTTGTGGCCTTGATTCTGTTCCCATCATATGTGTACTTTACCTGCTTCAAGGTGCAGTGGAGAAATTGTTGTATATTCTATGATATAATTCAACTCCCATTGTTTTTTTTTTTTCAGATGCTTTGTCTAGTTATTCATTTATTAAATAAACAGGCAGAGAGTTTGGAGGAAAAGAAACTTTGTGCAAAACAAAGGAAACTCAGGAACATTAATAGAAGAAAGAATGATAGGGGTTATGAGAAGGAAAACACCGGGAAAATAAGATTCTACTAACTTTGGAGCATCTTTGAAGAACATCTTGTTCTCTAATAATATTTCTTTTGAGCTCAAAGGAAATTGCAGAGACCAGGGCATAGTGTACTTCTGCATGCTGTTTCAAAGGTGCTGTGAAAAATAAAAGTATTCCATGTAGCTCTGGCAAACCATTGGATGTACTTCAGGGTCATCACACGGTGCAGGTGCTGACGTTCACTGTGTACACCCCCCCAGAGTGGCACACACAAGAAAGATGGTCCTTTACTTCAAACAACCTGGTGCCCTCTGACGGGCAAAATTTTAAAATACTGCAGTGTCAGTCCTGAGTTTGATGATTCACTTAGTTGTTACTGAATTTTGGACAGGATGTGCCCAGAGAGGATGGGGGAACCTGCAAGCACAGCTATTCTAGTCTGATTGCCAAGCAAGTCAAACTTGTTCTGTTTTAACTTTGTTTTGCAAATAGCCAACATGTATTATTTAACTGAAAGTAAATCTGAAAATACCTTTTTCAGGATCAATCACAATGAGCGTTTAGAATTTCTGGGAGATGCTGTGGTGGAGTTTTTAACAAGGTAAATGTGGAATTCTTCAACAACCGTCCCCTGCTTTTCTCTTTGATTGCATTTGTATGTTACTGGCCTACCATCCAGCTTATTAAACTTTGTAATGTATGCTTTGTTGTGGTCCTGGCCTGGATATTCATAGCTGCACATCTGCACACACCTCTTTTGACGTCTGCCCCAGTGCTGATGGTACAACAAATTAAATTGCAAGATGAAAAGATAGAGTTTCTGTCTCATGGAGTACATTTTAAAGTTTGGGGAGATTACAAGTTCAGCTACAGACAAGTTGAGTTTGTACTCATTTTTAAAAGAAGTTTTCATTACTGTGTCATTTTATTTCCATGGATTCTTTGTGTTCTTCAGCTGCAAGTGAAAGCTATTTAGTGTTAATATTGAATGTGTCACTAGATTTCCAGTTACTAGGGGCATGGCTTCATAATGTCTGTATGTAAATGAAACAGTTGAGCATAAATGTAAGTTATTTAGAAGTAAAAACAAAATTTCATGATTAATTCAAAATTTTGATTTTTTTGAGTATCCTGAGACCAGTTGACAATATTGTAAAAGTTACCTGTAACTTTTACAATAAGGTAACTGTGTAAGTTACCTATGGAGCCGACTTGCTAAAAAGTATCATCTGTCGCAAAGGCAGTTTCAGAATTCTGTGAAATCCATTTTTAATTGCTTTCTCTTATCATGGCTAATAGAGGAGTAGTCTGTTTTCTTAAAGAGAATCTTTACAATAAGGTTGTGTTATAAAGAACAATTGCCCTTGTACATCTGTCCTCAACTAGCCGTCAGCTACTCAGAATTAAGGATTATGTGTTTGTAAAGGTCTCAGTTGCCCTAAAAAACAGTGGCCTTTTCCCTCACAGAACAAGTACAGGCTGTGAAGATGGAAGACTCGCTTAATAAAAGTACCTTGCGTTTTTCACTGTCACTGTTCATCAGCCCTCACTTGACTTTTCTCACCTAACTTTTGTCTTTAGTGCAGAAAATATTTGAGCTACTAATTAAGTCTGTTTCTGTTCAATAAAGCATTTGAGGGCCTACTTACAATCTGAAGTTCTTACCCAAGTTCACTCCAGGACTCATCTTTTTTGTGAATTATGGTTCTTGATTAGTTTGCCTCTAAGATCTATGGCAATTCTTGTTCTCAAAAAAAAAAAAAAAAAAAAAAAAAAAAAAAACACTTGTGCCCATCTGCAGTTTTCCTCCCTGTACAATTGGCTTGTAGTTGTTTTTATTGGTTTTAAACATGCTATTGTCATTAGCATTTGAGAGTAAGTATTTGCTAAAGTACTGTAAGACGCTTATTTTTTGAAAACAACCTCCTGAGTGGTGGTGCAGACTGAGCCAGCAGTCTCCTTTTGAAGCACCGCGTGCCTGTGACACGGAGTTCCCCAAGCCTGGCAGCTGTCCTGCCCTTCATTCCCCACCGTCTTCTTAGAGTCCGGGCCCAGCCCTGGCTGAACCCATTGCTACTGACACAAACCTTCACGGAAGGGAAGTTCATGCAGTTGATGGGATTTAGAAATAATGTACTACCCAGCAGACAGACGTGCGCTCCCTGCTCCCCATGCAACCCAGTCAATACTATTGAGCGCTGTTTGATATTTGATTGTTTCTTTATTTCAAGATGAGTTGCCTTTTGGGGGGAGTTTTATCAGCAGCCAGGATCTGATAGACATTAACCTCCCACCGAGATTCATGGGATTTGTCTTTAATCAAATGTATCCATATTGAGAGGATCTGGTTTGATTTTGTTTTGCCAGTGTCCACTTGTACTACCTGTTTCCCACCCTGGAGGAAGGGGGATTAGCTACGTATCGCACTGCCATCGTGCAGAACCAACATCTGGCCATGCTGGCCAAGGTATGGTCCTCTGTTTTATGTCCTTGTGTGTTTGAAACTCAGACGTAAGATGCTGTTACATTTGGGATATTTCTCAAAGGGTTTGTCTGCTTTGAACAACAGTGTCTTCACCGCGTTTTGTGAGCTGGATTAGGGATACAGGAACTTGCTTCAAATTGACAATAGATTTAAAGATGAGGTAGGACGTAGTGTTTTCTCCAAAGCATTTTATTAAGAGTAGTGATTTTTACCAGCAGAAGGATAGGTTTTTAGAATGGTGTCTTGAAGGCAACTCTATATTTTACTTTAAATTGCAGTGATAATGAAGTTGATAGTGGAAAATAATGGGGAAGGGCAGGGAGGAAGATACTTATAGAAGGACTTCCTGATAAGGTACATGTGAAGAAAAAAGTGACATGTGGTAGAGAGAAAGTGAAAAAACTCATTTTGTCGCCTCTGACCTAAAAAGACATTTTCAGATTTGCTGTAATCTGTCAAAAAGCAATATGTTAGAGAGGCATTTGATGAAAAATAGGCATTGGAAGATTTGGGACCCCATGGATTTTTTTAAAAAAAATTGTGAATAACATGGACTATTTATGTGACACTGAGCACATATGATGGAGAAGTTTGAGTAAGTTTGTTTTCATGGGTGCTTTGGTATTCTATTCAAATTTAATTTTTGTTAACCTTTGATTTAAAAAAGAGAAGTCTGGGACTTACTATTGTAGTGTGTTAGGCCATACACACATGCACACATACATACACTGCTGGTTTACAAGTGCTCTTTTTATCTTCTTTGGCCACACTCACACAATAATTTGAAGAACAGAAGACACATTCAATATTGAGATTTTGGCAAAAACTTTATGATTTCTCTTTTTTTGCTCTGTGCAATTCTCAAGAAATCTAGGGCTAGGCAGTGAACAGACTCGTTTTCATTTTCATTCAGAGCTTTCTTTAATGGTGTAGAAGGATGTGATTGAAGAACATTCCAATCTGGGCTTTGTTTATAAATGTAATATTAAGCTGCCTGGCATTTCAGTTTGGTTTATCATTTTAAAACATGCATCAGGCAAGTTCGTATACTCCAAAGGCTGTTAGCAGCCTTTATCATTGTAAATGGGCAATTTTTGATAAGTCGCCTTGCAGTGTGTTTTACATGTATTTATATTAGATACAGCTGTAAATATTGGAGTTCTCTACTCTGCTGATTTCCCAAGGTATCCTTTGCCTGTGTTGTGTATCCGAAGTGACCTTCCTGCTTTCACCCCATTATCGCGCAGAGTGTCGCGTTGCATTCCGTTTGCTTCCTCAATCCAGTTCTCAGATCCTGAGCTTCTCCTGTGCATATGGAATGCTGCTTTAATTGAGTATCAAATGATAGGCTTCTCAGAGCTTTAAAGCAGAAGTTTTAAAAGCAATCTGAAACCTGGCTCGATCAAATATGAGATGTGAAATGTATGCAGAATACTTTGAATGCAAGCTCCTGCTACAGAGTTAAGTCACTGAGAGAAGAAAACGAAAGAACAGCTAACATGAAGAAATGACAATAATCTGTAAAAAGTTTCAATTAACATAACACACAGTTTTTGACTTTGATAACGACTCTAAGGGGTTGCTCCCTGAACTGTGTGAAGTGCAATACCACATAGTAAGTGGCAATTCCCTGTGCTCTGAGCAGTGAATAGACTCTCATTCATTAAAAATTGAAGGCTTTTTTTTTTTTCTTTTCAAATTGAAAGGCATATAAAACATACATTTCAAACACCTTAGCTTCTTCACTTTTGCTTCTTATATATACTGTAGGAGGATGAAGTTGAAAGTTAATGAGAAATGGGTCAGTAGAAATTTATACTCGGTTGGGAAGAACCTATTCTCATACAAATTTTGTAAGATGCAAAAATCTCTCTTCTTTTAAAAATCCTATTAGTGCGTTTGGGTCAGAAAGATAAATATGTAACGAATCTGGTATCTCTTGTGGGCATTTCTATAGCAGAATTATCATATATTATATAACATACCCGACTTGCTACCTGCAATGCTACCTGGCAAGCAGAATTATGGCTCAGGAAACAGATGAATTTTAATGATTGTTTGAAGAAAAAAGAAAAAAAAAGAAAAAGGAGAAAAGCTAGGTGGCACTGTGGCTTAAAACATCCATCTCTGCTCTTGGACCTGGAGGCTGTTGTTCCGGCCACCTGTTGATAGTCAGAAAGGGAAGAGATGGATGTTTTTTGGATTCAGCCCACCAGCATTGCCATTTCTCAGTATTTTACCTTATCTTCTTCTCATGGATGCAGTCCTTCCCCTTTGAGCGTCCTTTCGGCATTTCCCAAGGGAAACCACAAGGGCAAACTGTCTGCACAAAATGCTCTGTGCTGCACCATCCAACCAATATTAGTCTGTTTTTTTCTGTCGCTGCCTCACCTTTCCTCTTGATTCCTAGGTTAAAAACTTATTTTGATAGTTTTTAGCTTTTCCACAGAATCCCGCTCCAGTTGCTTTCCTCTAGAAAGCTGTTGCAGAGTGTTTTGAGCTTTAAAGCCTGTGTCTGCACTGGAGCTGTATGGAGCACAGCGTGCAGGCTCCCTAGAGCCCTGCAGCTGCAGAGTCCCAACATAGCTGAACTCCAGGGGCTGGAGCTTGAACTCTTGCACATCTGTAACCCGCCTGTGAATCTTTGCATGTCTCCTGCAGAAGCTGGAACTGGATCGGTTTATGCTTTACGCCCACGGTCCGGACCTTTGCAGGGAGTCAGATCTCCGTCACGCCATGGCCAACTGCTTCGAAGCCCTCATAGGTAAAGCGTACGTGTTGGTGCACGCAGGCGTTGTGTTCTTGTGCCCGTGCTGAGCCCTGGCTCAGTGCAGCAGGCGTGGGCCTGCTGGGTAGTGTTCATAGGGGCAGGGATAGCAAAGCTCTTTAATTTCCCTTGCCGCTTCCCGTCTACTGTACGTGTCGTGTGTAGCGTGATGAATGCACCATATTAAAGTGAAATCTCAGCTTTCGTCTCCTGGTTCACATGTCCCGCTGATGTACCCGTTTCATGGTGTTATAGCCCCCCTCTTCCATATGTCCCCTTAGGACTGCACCTCTCGTGTCACTGTGCCCAGCTGTGGGCGATCCTCTGAGGTTCATTCACCATGGTCTGACAGCAAAAGTGGAGGCTCACTGCTTCCAGTAATTACTACTTACAGACAAAAATGTCTGCAAAATGTGGAGTCCCAAACTAGCCCTGAGGCTTCAGTTCTGCAGGTCACTTCTGCATTCACCAGATACTGCTAACTAAGCCACCGGCCAACTTTCTCTCTGCCCTGGTAGCTCTCTTCCTGTGAATTAAAGGTGACATTTGCTCAGTAAATATCTTAGGTTTTTGTATTTTCTCTTCCAAAGAGAAAACATGGCAATATGCCATGGCTGCTGTAATAAAGCTACCAAAACTGTAGCTGAGGGTGAAGGAGTGCTTCTGAGCTGAGTGCAGCTCAGAAGTCAGCTGAGGGCCCCTTTAGTGCTGATCAGTGACTGTGTGCTGGTAGATGCATTTATTTTGGAGAAAGGGAAGTCTGGAACGCCTCACCACATTTATCATAATCAATAAGCAGGAAGTGTGGGAGGGGAAATATGGTTTTAGAGCCACACAAGTTGTATTTTGTGTACTGTATTTTTATAAATCTTTATTTGATTGAATACATGAAACAAGCCAAACAAATCTCAATGATTCAGCTTCATATGCATTCAAATGCACTGTATGTGGTATTGACTACAGCAGTATCTTAGGCCTATTCAGGCCCTTGCATACTACAGGCTCCTAAAGCATTTTATTCTCCTTTGAAAATACATCCCAGCATGCTTAGATGACAACAGTTATGTGCATTCTGCCTTGGGCCAAATTACATTTCATCTTATCAAGAAATAAGAGTCATCTTTTTAACTCTATTTTACTTTCCATGAGTGCTTTGATCTCAAATTAAAAAATAAAAAAGAAACAGAAGAGGAGCACTAGATCTGTATCTGTGACTTTGCTCATATACTTCAGCCTGACAAGGGTGTGATGATGAGGACTTTCTGGCAGATGCTGAGATGTGCTAACGGAGCAGACTTGCTGCTTAACCTCCAGTGGGAAGTTGCTCAGGAGGTTAATAGAGCAGTAAGGTTTTGTCAGGGCCACGGCTGAAAGCTGGGAGTTTGTGAAGGGACAATAAAAGTATCTTTGGGGTCTGGAGCTCCTGCTCGGGAACCTTTGTGCAAAGCTGGTGCTCTCTCCCTGCAATGAAGATAGCTAAAAGGCTGCCTACTACCTGCTTAAAATTCTGTGCTCTCATAACATGCCTCTGGCAAGATACTGTTCTTCTCCGAAGAATCAAAAGAGTAGTTGACCTACTGAGAGAGTAAGGAGGAAAGAATAATAATAGGAAAGAGAGAAAAAAGAAAATCACAGCAAGGCAGAGCGTGTTCTCCCTATATTTGGGAATATTGACTCCCTTGCTCTGTATTCTTCGTATAGCTGTGCATTCCCTTTGCTTTATACAGCTGTGCTTACAAGGGCTGGTATTAGGATTGCAGAAGCCCTTTTGTTAGAGAATCAAAGTGTTGATGCTCTTTGTTTTAAAAGTGTCTGTACAGATACAGTGGGTACAAACAAAAAAATACAACTTGCTAGCACAAGTCTCCCCTGATTTGTTACTGAAGGCAATATGGAGGGCTAGTAATGGCCGAGTATGCAGGCTTTCAAAAAGAAAATATATTGGGAAAGGAAGCTCAAACTCAGATAACATATTATTGTAATATTGAGGAAATACTGACAGATTTATATGCAGGATGTGATGTCCTTGAAGAAACATAATAAATAAACATTATTCATTGTCTGTTGAAGTTTTTCATGACTGTCACTGTCCACATATATTGTATAGTTAGCTGATGACTGGAAACCACTTTTAGAAATAGATCATTTTTAGAGAAATTTCTTTAAACTTTGCTCTTACAGCATATCACTTTCAATGATTTAATTATGTCTTTTTTTCTATGAATTTTACAACTATTGATTTTTGTTAGTGTTTAATATGCCTTAAATTTCTCAGAAAATCAGATTTGCTGTTTTGATTCCATAGAAGTCATGCTTTAAAAAATAAAAATATATTGCGAGTGAGGAAGGCAGGCAGAGATCTTTAACTTCTCTGTGCTTAGTAATTTTCTAAATACTGATGCATTTTTTCCCTTTGATGTATTGGTCCCTCTCTATAGGAGCTGTGTATTTAGAGGGGAGCCTAGAAGAAGCCAAACAATTATTTGGACGTTTGCTCTTTAATGACAAGGTATTTATATAATTTGTTACTTGACTTCCATTTTAAGGTATTTTTCTTAAGCATCATAATTGAGCAAGAATACACTTAGTTCCTAGAAATTTAACATAGCAAGGCATGTTCAGGACAGCAAACTGCACTAGCTCAAGACGAAAAAATATGGTATTTCCTCAGGGTTGCTTTTTGTTGGTTGCTCAGGTAGGGAAGGGCCCATAGGTGCGGGAAACCTGCAGGCTTTCATCCAAGTGCCTCTCTAAGAGCACAGTGTATGCTGTGGATCCAAGCGATGTGCTTTGCAGAAATGGTGCGCGATTTCTCTTTCAAATACCCCCAAACCTATACTACGTGTATTTTCTAAAACTAAATACATATCTTGGGCAGGGGAAGAGTTCATCCAGTGTTTACCCAACTGCAAAGTTGAAATCTGATCCATTTTTTCAGATTATATCTTAGATCACTGCTGACTGGAATTTATCTCAGAGAGTAGTTAAGGACAGTTAAGGGAGAATTGTGCTCATACTGATTGATTTGTAAGTTTTGCAAATTCGGTTGTGAACCTGGGAGCTATTACACATACCTCCCTTTTCTTAGTTGGCCACACTCACTTTTTATTACTTGTTCCTGTCAACTTTCATCATGTTTTGACACATCATTTCTACCTGCAACAGAACAAAAGCCCTTCAGGTCAGGGAACAAGTTTTGCCAGCTCAGAAAAGCAACCAGTATGTAATGCCGAAGCGATGCATGTGGCACCACTGAAGGATGAATTATATAGCCTTTTCCTTCTTTATAGCCTGTGAATCTGTGAAAGGACAAGGTTTATTAGAAATAAAAATATTTTGTCGCATATTATAACTTATTGTTTACTTGCTACCTGCATTTAAGGAAGACTATATGAAATAAAAGGGTACAATGTTTTTTTTTTTTTCCCAATCTTCATTTTTTGGTCAAATGAAACTTGCTACTGAGGAGGAGCAGGGAATAGTGTTAGACCTGTGGCTTAAACAAATCTTTTTTTCTTCTTCTCCAACCAGTTCTTATTTGGTTCAAGATTTTTTTCTGCTTCCTTGACACAAGCTAATTGGGAGAACTACAGGCAGTTTGAACAGCAAATACACGATTTTAAAAATTAGTTTGCCAGCACTATTGAATTTGCAATAAGCAGAGTCAGCATCTGAAATAGTTCGGTATTTCAAGTAATGACATTTTATTTAGTACTGTGGAATTTGTTAAATGACTCCCTTGAGAATTAAAGGCGTCTCTCAATGCTTGCAGGACCTGCGGGATGTATGGCTTAATTATCCACTACACCCACTCCAAGTAAGTGTGTCTCTTTCTGTAATAAATTTCATAGCTCTGTTTCATTTCCATGGATGCTTTTCCTTAGGTTTTTGCTATAGTGACATCTCAACATCTCAGAAAATTTACTAACAAGTAGCCAGAGGAATGAATATATTTGCCTTTATGTTTTTTTTTAATATAAATAATGATTCTCTGCCTGTCTGAGGATTAATCATTCACCTTCCTTGGCTTGTGTTTGATGTATGGTTGTGTTTCTCATACAATAAATCTAGGGAGAGGTAACTTTTTGGCTTCTTTCCCTGTATATGCTGTAAGCTGGAACAAAGAGGGCACAGAAATGGTCTTGGGTCGCTATTTGTTGACCTGGAAACAAGACCTATATGTTAATTATAGGAAGTCACACTACCTAAATGACTTAAGAGGGTAATGCTAAGTATTTGCCTGGTTACAGCAGAGTGGTTTCATTGATTCCATTAGCTTTAATTGCAGGCGAAAGCTGAAAATGTGGACGTGTCTGAAAGATAACTTATCCTCTGTTTATTTGTGAAAGCCACAAGTGGTTCACACTAGGTTAGCTTATGATCCTGGAAGTTGTCAGAGTTGATTCCACGTCTTGGCTCCATGACTGAATTCTGGTGGAGACCCTGAGCAAGTTGTGGGGTCTCCCTGCACTGTTGTTGCCCGTGCTTACACCAAGGATGTGGCATCCTGCAAGGGTACGGAGAGAGCTACGTGCAAGTTGTGGTTCAGTCCATTCGTAAGGCTTTCAGGATCACGTCTGAGAGAGAAGTGGTCCTCTTACTGCCTCTTTTGTCTGGCCAAATCTTGGGTGTCTTGTGCAGAGCCAGTCTGACCCTGTTAGAAATTTTTGTGAGCCATCCTTTCCGGTAGAAGGTCACTCAGGGACCTGCGTCTGAAGCGTTTCAAATATTCAGTGCAGATTTTAGAGAGGGCCTGAGGACAAAACCCGTAGTGACAGATCAGTGTGCCCGAAGCACTTGGACTATCAACTCTGTGTCACTGTAAGACAGGAGTAAGTGGGAAAGTTTCTTAGTAATAAAAAGTGAACTTTCCACACTTGGCAACAGTTGTTATGAGTGGTGGTACAAGCACACAAGAAAACTCTTCTTCTGGATTTCTTTTTTTTTTTTTAACCTCTTTCTGTCCACTTTCATGAAGAAGGATTGGACTGTGCTTGGATTGGAGACAGGCAGTATATGAGGCCTTCCTTGTTCCTCCTCTAATTTTTGTGGGATGAAAATGTGTTTTCCTCTATGGTCCAGATGCCCTCCTAACTCTCTGCTTGCCAGTAGGGGAAACACAAGCTGCCCAGTCTTGCCATCAGAAAGTGCTAACCTGAAAAATGATATTTTTAAAAGTATTGAATGTGACTGTAACAATGTGGCAAATAAAATGCCAGTTAAGCAGTGTAGCTCTGGGTGGGATATATAGAACTGACTCTATAAACTTGTCATTTTGTGGCAGGGAATCAGATGAAACAGCGATAAATAAAATAATTAGTGGACACCTGGGTAAATGTAATTTATCTGGAAACAATCACATGACTTTTGGAAAGGCAAGTACTGATAGGAGAGCTTAGAGGAGACAAAAAAAAATAAAACATGGTGATGCAGATGCCTTTGTCTGTTGGGTTTCCTAAAAGGCTTTTGACAACCTACGCACCAAAGACTTGAGGCAATTAAATAAATAACTACATAAATAAACATCCCAGTGAAGAGTGACACTTTTTGCATAGATTTAGAGGAACAGCTGAAATACCAAAGACAGAGGACAGGACTGAAATGGCCTTTTCTTACAGCGAGTTTCCCAAGGAAATCATGTTCTGTTCACATCAGTAACTTAGAGTTGAGAGAGGGAGATGAGTGTGGTGGTGGCAGCACATTGACAATACCAAATCACCCAGGTTCGTAGGGACAACAGCAAGCTGAAGAATTGTGACCCAGCTACAAGACAGTGGCTGAAAAGGCAGTATGAACACAGCTGGAGGTTCATGTAGGTAAATACAAAGGGCTGCACATGGAGAAGTGAAAAACACTCCTGGCTTCACAAGCAGGGGAACTATGAACTGAGCATTTACACTTGAGAGTGGGATTTGGGGATGGGTTTGGGTATTCAGCTGTCAGCTGAAGGCTCAGTGTTTGAAGAAAAAAGACAAACTAAACCTTACTAATTGTTATAAAAGGGTTAGAGAATAGAACAAAAAAGATCCTAGTGTCACTTTACAAAAAGCTGTGGCTTGTGCACACCTGGAATGTGCTGTTCTGCCCCGTGTGTTGAAAAGTAAAACTAAAAAGATGGATGAGCGGAAGGAAAAAAAATAGAAAAGCACCAACCTAAATCAAAAATAAGGAACAGATTCTTATTGAAGAAAGGCAAGTAGGTAAATCCTCTAGGAAAGAGGTGGTAGAGAGGGAGGGCCTGGAATAGAGATCTCCAAAACAAGAGTGAATGAGCAGTGAGATAATTCTCCTCTGTCTCTTCCAGTGCAGTAGGAGGTGTTGAGGAGGAACCAAAGAGTTCCAAGTTCAAAAGAATCAAGAAGGTCCTTTTTTTCCTTAGGGAAGTGGTAGATCTGTGGAACATACCACTGAATACATCAGAAGTGAGGTTGTGGAGGAAGACTGGCCTTCCACAGCCCCATGAGGGCTACGTACATTTAAACAGCATCAGAGTCAAGAAGTCCTGATCTAACAGTAGCTGGAGGATGCCCAGGAACGTCCTTAATATGTTGCCCTGTCTTACTTTTCCTTGAGGCATTTGGGTGTGGGTGATTCCTCCTTTGAAGCATTGCTATATGAGAGAGAGGCACAGAGTGGCTGAAGGAAATGCCTGAGTCTTTTCCTAGCTCCAGAAAGCCATTTAGCGATCAAGAGTGTGCCAGACAAGTAACTGAAAAGAACAGATACAATATATTCAGGGCTGGAAGGACTTCTGGTCTGATTTAAATCGAACTTTTCATTTTCTGAAGTTATTGTGCCATTTTGAACTTTGCTAATTATTAGTATCTTTTTGATACTGAAGGAAAGAGGGAGACCTGGAGGGCTATGAGTTCTTTTTGTCTCCATCTTGATGCTTTGTTGATTCAACTGGTTCTGAGTCTGTTGCTCAAATTCTAGCAGTCTGGTAATATTAAAGATCTCAAAGATACATAAAATTTTACATGTTTTGTGAAAATAAGTATCCCATGTTATCCATATGCAGATAGGACCATATAAGCAACACATTATAAATACCTCAACTGTTAAAGAAAGCTTTCATTAGTGCTCACATCTTTTTGACAAGTGATAATTATCCAAGACACAAAGCCACTGGAAACTGTTTTCTCAGTTCACCTGTTCACAGAACAACTTGTTCACTCTATTCTTTGTCCTTGGCTTACAAAAGGTTTGCTTTTCCCTTAAAATTTTGGAAATTGGTAGTTATCTGTTTGTCATTATTTGCACTTAATCTCATTTACAGCTGCAAGAGTCCAATACTGACAGGCAGCTCATTGAGACCTCCCCAGTTCTTCAGAAGCTCACAGAGTTTGAGGAGGCAATTGGAGTCATTTTTACTCATGTTCGGCTACTAGCACGTGCATTCACCCTGAGGACTGTGGGTTTTAACCATCTGACTCTGTGAGTATAAAGGAGCAATTGCCTTTCTGCAGTTCTGCTGGTCCTTCTGTTAATATCATGAATTGTTCTGCATAAAAAATGAATAAAAATTAGGGCTGTTATCTGTGTTCTCCATAAAAGAGGAGAACAGCTCTGTGTGCAAGCCCACGTGGCTCAGTATCCTGTGCACAGTAGTCAGTGGTGAATACTTTGAGAATGCATTTAAGGGATGCGATAAAGACATCCTGGTGTATCTCCTGAGCTTCTTGCTTCAAGGCCTTGGAGGCTCCGTCCTTCGCCCTGTAGTGAAATGTATTTGAAGGTACAGTTTGAGAAGAGGAAAGAAGCCATGTTCTTCAGCTCTTGCAGTCTGTGGTTTGTGCAGTACCTAACACAGCAGGCTTTTAGTCCCTAACAATATCTGTTAGGTCCCATTTTAAAGGAAATGGTAGTGTTATACCAATGGATAACCCATGGATCCAGTCCAGGATCTCTTGTGGGTTTAAACCCTGATCGTTTTGCTTCTAAGAAATGGACAGACGTTTTTCTCCACTGGAGTCTTTGCATTCATTAGTTCACTTGCTCACAAGGAATTGCAGAGAATAACATGCCGTTACAAACCTGATGTCAACTTACTCTTTTTCAATTAGTCCCACATCTGTGATCCAATAATTGTGTTTAGCTTCTCTGATCTGTGTTTTCTTGAAAATCAGTGTTACGACAGTAGTGAGCAGTGTTTTCATCTCATCTGGTTAACAGTAGAAAATTATCTTAAATGTGTTTAAAAATGAGCAAGGCTCACTATCAGATCACTCTTTATTTCAATTTGTGTGTGCATGCTGGTTTTGTTTTTTCCCTTCCTGAGTGCTTATTGATTTTGCTGCACTGATGTCTCATTTTTCAGAGGCCACAATCAGAGGATGGAATTCCTGGGTGACTCCATAATGCAGTTGGTAGCCACAGAGTATTTATTCATACATTTCCCTGATCATCATGAAGGGCACTTAACGGTGAGACTGCCATCAATCATTCTCTCTAGTAGAACAAGTGTGGGATGAAACTGAAATTATGGAAGGAGCTAGTGAATTATTCTGAATTTGATTAATAAAAGAAGCCTCAGCAACCTCTGTTCTTAATAAGGCTCTGTTAATTTTAAGACATGAGTCCTACAGTGAATACAAAATGGTGATTTATGAGTCCAGTGCAGTAATTTTTGTTCTGTTTGTGAAATGGATCAATAGTTTTAATGAGGCCAGTGGTGAACTTGAGATAAGACTAGTCCTTGTTTAAAGACAAATGTTTTAAAGCACTGATTTAAATAAGCATCTCACTTTTTTTTTTTTAATCTATCCATAACTATTAGTCTGTGCACCAGAAGGGGGTTTCTTTCCCGATAAGATTGATATTTTACAATCTATTGTACTGTGATTTGCCCACTATCTTCAATGCAGAGTGACTATGGTAACTTTTGACTTTATTTTTAGTACTGTTGTGGTCATCTGTTGTTGGTTCCAGTAGCCTTTCAGCATCTTTCCCCCAGTCTCTAACAACTCTATTTGTGGATCTTTCAGCAGTTTAGTGTTTTAAGCATAGAATGGTGCTACATGGTTGGTTTTTTTTTTTTTTTTGCCAAGAGGGATTAATTACATTAAGCAGTGCAGCTAGATAGTTTAGGGTTAATTTGTGAAGAAGAATTTTCTTAGACTTACTCAATTTTCTTAGTTTTATAATCTTGATTAGAATGAAAAAAGTCTAGAAGTATCGGGAATATAAATCAAGTCCCTTAGTTAAAATTAGGAAGTAGTTTTTTATATTTCTTACCTATTGGGAGTGATTTTTCTCAAAGCAATAAAGTGAGGGTGATGCAAAGTCTCTAACATACTGTGTTTTCAAGAAAATGCTTCTTAGGTGTCTAGGGCTAAATCTGTTTACAAGAAACAAAAATTATATGCTCTGAATAAAAGTAACATGAATTTTTCTTCACTAGTTTTTAAATTCCATTTCATTTGCATGTATTTTTCTGCAGCATTTTTAAAGTTAAAATGGAAGGGAAGGGGGCAGAAACTTCTCACACCGCTTTTTGCTTGTGGAGAAACATGAGGCAGAAATCCAAGATTGCCTTTTTTTTTCTTTTGCAGGTGACTTAAAAATGTAATCATCAGTGTTGTTATAGTATGATAAATTTTTCAAGAATAATCTGGCAGGAAGAGTATAAAATGTTGGTATTAATTGCTTTAAATGACTTGGCAAGTGGAACGAGTTGCATGTTGTCCAAGTTTGCAGGCAAAACTATAAAGTTTGGACACAGAATGTACATTGAGGATGCATAAAAATTCAGAGAAGTAAAAAAATGCCTGGAATACAATTTAAATTCTAGGGATGCTCATGCAATGAAAACAAGAATTGTTTCTGAATGCTTTAACTTTGAGGACAAATGAGATGAAGCACATGAGGGAGAGGGAGACTGATGATGTAGGACTTGAAGAGAAGCAACAAACATTGAGCTCTCTTGCCTTCCATCTAGGGACATCGTTATATTTGAAGTAGTAACAGAGCATCAGCTAAATTGTGTGTGTAGGGCTGAGGACAATTTTGGTCAAGGATGAGAAAATTTCACTTGACTAGTATTACAATGGCTTCTCATTGTCAAGTGATTAGTGAATTAGTGATTTGTTTTTTCTTCTATGAAGAGATGTCTGGAAATTTAACTCATGTGCATGTTTTGAGCTAGCCAAATGATCTGTCAGAAAAAGAAAATGGAATTTGGTTGGCTCTCAATAGATGATAGATACAACTTTCCTAGTTTTGACTTATGCTTCGGTCGTAGGTAGCAATGGAACCTGGAAGAATAGAAGTAATTCCTTAATAGCTGGAGTTAGGCTCAACTCGAGCTTATGTCCTGAGTTACAGCATCTGTAATGGTACAGGCTGTGTATTGTTGGGATGGAGACTAGCTCCCCAAAAATTGTTGGGAAGGGACAGATACTCCATCCTCTTCATAACTGCTAAAGGTAATTGGGTTTGCTACTGCATCCCATTTGTAGAAGAGACAATTTGTAATACGGAAGAGGTTGAGAACCAGAGTGTTAGATGGATATCTAGTTCTTTCCATCCTCAGGTTCGTGTCAATGTACATGTTACTCTTTATTAATTTTACTGTTGTACTAATCATAACTAAGGGTTCCGTCATAATCATAGAATGCTTAAGGTTGGAAGGGACCTCTGGAGGTCATCTAGTCCAACCCCCCTGCATACGCAGGGACACCTAGAGCACGTGGCACAGGACTGCATACAAGCGGGTTTTGAAGCTCTCCAGAGAAGAAGACTCCACAACCTCTCTTGGCAGCCTGTTCCAGTGCTCTGTCACCCTCACTGTTAAAATTTTTTTCCTTAAGTTCCTGTGGAACTTTTGATGCTTCAGTTTCCGGCCGTTTCCTCTAGTTCTGTCGGTGGCCACCACTGAAAAGAGACCAGCACCATCCTCCTCACTCCCTCCCTTGAGGTACTTATAGACACTGATCAGATCCCCTCTCAGCCTTCTCTTCTCCAGGCTGAACAGGCCCAGCTCCCTCAGCCTCTCCTCGTAGGGCAGATGTTCCAGGCCCCTGATCATCCTTGTAGCCCTGTGCTGGACTCTCTCCAGCAGCTCCACATCCCTCTTGTACTGTGGAGCCCAGAACTGGACACAATACTCCAGATGGGGCCTCACCAGGGCTGAGTAGAGAGGCAGGATCCTCTCCCTCGACCTTGAGAGGGGCAGGATCACCTCCCTTCCTTGCCAAACATAATAGATGCTTGGCAAATGCAACAAAAATGATCCTCCTTCTCCCTTTGCAGGAAACTGTTTTTTCTCATATGGGACTGCAATTTTGTCTTCTAAGTTGCATATTGTAGTTAGGATTTGTCTGAGGAATGTATTTATTGTTCATCTGAAGGACACAGAAAGGAAGAATTTTGGAAAACAACAAGTAGGAAGATGATTTTGAGCAGAAGTTAGGAAGGCAGGTAATAATCCTCCTCTTTCTGCAGTCTGCGTAGTTTATGAAGATCAAGATGCATCTGCTTCATATATCATTGCCAAACAAATTAGGAACGTACTGTTCTTTATTTATCTGTTGTCAGAGATGAAGTATCAAGTACAGGGAATAAATCTTGATTTTCATAAGCTCAGTTGACATGCTGGAGCCAGGTAGCATATAACTTGTATCTAATAAGCAGAGCAAATGTGACATGGGAGACAAAGAGGGAAAAATAGGCACTACTACTTTGCAACTCTAGATTATATATAAGCACTGCAAAGAGAAATATTCTTCCCCACACCCCATCCTACCTTCCAGAATAGCCCCAAATCTTTAAATTATACCATTTCATTTAAATCAAAAAAAAAAAACACCCTAACCAGGAGATTAGAAAATTGAATGAAAACCTGAAATCCCCAAATACTCCTTATAGCTGTACGAGAAAGGTCTTTGGATTCTATATTTAAGCAGTCTACATACAGCCAACCTTAAGCATCTCAGGGGACTGTGCTGGACATCAGGTATCCTAGACTTTAACATGCACTGAAGTTTTTAGAGACAGATCATCTTTGAGGTGCATACCCATGCTCGGCCATGCTGCCTTCAGGAGAGCAGTGTAACAGTGTGTGTTGGCTGTCCAGCTGTGCTCTGCCCAAATGATTGCAACAGCTTCTTCATTTGGTGTCTCTCAAAGACTGGATTGTCTCAATTCAGAGTGTATTTAATTATTGAGTGTTTGTTTCTTATTTGATCAACTCTGGGAACTGCTCTGTAGGCTCTAGAATACTCTGTGCTTATGTGGAAAAACGTATAACTTCATGTGTTTCACCAGAAAACTGCAGATGAGTTAAAAAGTATTGGAGTGGTGAACAGACAGTAGTGTTTGATTGCAAAGAAATTCATAAGGAAGCATGTATAATGCAAGACTAATAGGAACAACGCATAGAAGAAAAAATTGGGGAGAAGATGTGAAACAGAAGAAAAAAATAGCGGGAGAATGAGTGTTCATGTTTGTGCCTATGTGTAAATCATATAGCATATGAGATTTGAGAAAGAAGAGAGAGGCAGCAAGGATAAATAACTTTTTTGCCCCCAGCCCTCCTTGAGTTTTGGATTTTAGTATTGATAATTTTTACCATTTGGTGAAACTTCCTTTTGTTGCAGCTGTTGAGAAGTTCTCTGGTAAACAACAGGACTCAAGCCAAAGTGGCAGAAGAGCTGGGCATGCAAGAATTTGCCATCACTAATGACAAGACAAAGAGACCTGTAGCTCTTCGGACTAAGACTTTGGCTGATCTCTTGGAATGTGAGTTCTTGTGCTTATATAGCCACTTTGTACTCAGCAACTTTCTTTTCTTCAGGGCTTGTTTAAGAAAGCCCTTAGAAATTTCCCAAGTTGTTATTAAAGATGCACATTCAAATTTTAAACCAAATTATGCCAAATTATATGCAGGTCAGATTTTTGAGCACTAGCCTACATTTTTGCAGGCACAGTAAGCACACTTGAAGAAGGTATAATTGCATGTATGATATTGCAGGTTTAGAAATGGGGGGGTTGTGAAGATCAGATCAAAGCTATATCTCAAAAAGTTAAAACTTGTTACCTGAATCAAGCTGTTTATTGGCAGTTTCGATCTATATTCTTTTCTGTTAGAAGATAAAGTATTTCCTTCATTCAATGAATATTTTTGTGGTTGATTTAACTACGTTCTAGAAAAAGGCTTCAAAATGGCAGTTCCAAAGGAGGGAAAGCCACCTGAAAATTAAATGGACTTTTACTCCATTTTGGAAAGTGTGTGCTACTGTCTTTCCAAAGAAAGTGAAATAGTAATAAATACTGTGCAAAGAAAGTTAATCCGTATCCTGTATATTCTGATATATTTTGTCAGCCATTCAGACCCCTTGGCTTTTGCCAAATCCTCTTAGTAAATGGAAATTGCACACAAACAGGAGTGATTTATATCTAAAGCATTTTTATGGTACCCAGTAGTGATTTATTTCAAAGTAGTCATGGTCTGCTGGCTAAATGTGGGATTAGGAGCTGTTGTTTCTGACTCTTTGAATGACTAAGTGAATTTGAGTAAGTCAATCTCTTGGTCAACTTTGCTTTTTCCCGCATGTGCAGGATAATAATACCTCATCAGATCACTGCTGTGAAACTTCACTGAATATGGTTTTAGAGTACTCAAAGATACTTTTTCTAAAAGGGAAAGCTATTAACATTGTTCTTGAATGAGTGACAGTACTTTTTTTCCTCCCTCTCAGCCTTTATTGCTGCCCTGTATATTGATAAGGATTTGGAATATGTGCACACTTTCATGAATGTATGTTTTTTCCCACGTTTAAAGGTAAGACCTTTATACTTATGCCTTATAAATAAGATTCCTACTTTTTTAACGCTTTTGTGCTTTTAATATATGCCATTCTGTTTTGGAGTCTTAACACAAATGCAACCATAAAAGCATCTTTGTGAACACCTTACAGGAGTTTATTTTAAATCAAGATTGGAATGACCCCAAATCTCAACTTCAGCAGTGCTGCTTGACTCTCAGGACTGAAGGAAAAGAGCCAGACATTCCTCTTTACAAGTAAGAAACGGTGCCTTATGGATACAAGCTAATTATCGGTCTTTCTTTTGCACGAAGGAAGATGTGATCAAATGCTCAACATTTTTTTCTGAACTTTGGCCTTTTTTATCTCTGTAGTACAAGCTGTTTAGTCTCTTCTTGTCTGTAAATGACAATTGTTAATCCAATGTTTTCTGAGCTTTCTACTTTTTAAGCCATTGTAGGGAGGAATCAATAAGAATTTTACCTTTTACATACTGAGGGAAAAGAAGTGTGTTCAGTGTTCATTGGCATCGTACTGTTGTTTTTTTTCTTCTTTTTATGTAAAATAGTAGAAATATTTTGAATGAATAGAACAAGGGCAGTGGCCATTCAGATACAAAGTCAAGACACCCTCATTCTGTTTCTAGTAATACCGTGAACTTTCTTTACCTCTGGTGTAACCAAAAATAATGTGGTAGACCTCCTGACTGTAGGCTTCAGTTCTAATGAAGAAAGAGCTGGGAACATCTGAGGGTCAGAGCAGGGTTTGGTCATGCATTTCAGCCCACATCTGTCCTCCTGCATAGGAGTATAATTGCTCAGGGCCAGAAATTTCTTGACTTGGGCACCTTGGTTAAATACCTGAGACTGGGGTGGGACAAACCTGCATTCTTTCAATTTGATCAGTACATAACAGTTAGTTTAATGAGACAGTAACAAACTTTTAAATTGATATAAATTTAAATTTATGCCAAACCCACATCTATTTGATGCATGTAAGGAAGGGTACAATGTTAACCACCCAGGAGAAGAGAAAGGCTGTGAATGTTTAGGACTTGCGTTGGGATTGCTCTATGAAATATATAGGAGGAATTAAAATCTTAAGAGCGTTTGTCACATTTACTAAATTAAAGTTTTTAACAAAATGTAGCAGCAAATTATAGTGAGAAACAGTACAGTACACTTCAGAAATACGACCATTTTAACATGGTAGCTGGTGGCCTGCCAGTGTGGCTCCTCAGTTTCTCTGAGGGTTTACCCTTTTATCTTGAATGAAGAAGATTAATACAAAAGAAATGTCTCCTGATTCTTGTAAAACTCCCCGACTATCGAGTACCAAATGTTTGTTTTGTTTTGCTGTGATAAATCGATTTTTTTATTTCAGTACAGCTTAGAGTTATTCTGAGGCTGTTATCTTCCTATTACCTTGTTAAATTTCTTCCCTTGGGGCTATCTGTTGCACTACACTCGGTAGTTTAGCTTTGGAATTTGGGGTGGTTTTACTTGTTCGCTTCTGTATTCTCATTCTTCACTTGTGGTATATTGTAGTCAGATACTTTAAAAATTGATGTGAAATTGCTGCGCTTTCCTCAGTGGAAAAAAAAGTAGTGGACAGAAATCAAGCTGACAGTGGGGAGAGATTAGCAACAGAGGGATGGGACAGCAGAAGAAGCAAATTCATCGCATGCCAAGGGAATTATCCTTTTCCCCTTGAGATGATTGTCAATGCATATCCTAGACTTTCACTCAAATGGAAAGGTTCTTTAAGTGACAGAAACTGTATCTTTAAAGTTGAAGGAAAATTCCTATGTTCCCTGGTATCTTGCTGTGTAGAGGACCCCCCACTGCTAATACCAAAGACTTAAAACTTGCTAAACATTCCGCTCTTGGAGCTTAAAAATTTTTGGTGCCCGTCAGCTTGTTGGTATGGTTATTTGCAACTGCACAGCTCTGTGTTTTTTAAATGATTTTATTACAAGTGTATTCACAGTGTTTCAGCACTTTGTGCACAGTACACTTTTTGGCCTGTAGGCTGAAGTTTTGATTTTCATACGGTACTCCTCAGTGAGCTTGAAAGAGTAAGTAAATGCACTATAAAGAAAGATCCATTTTGTGTAAATTACTCCTTTTAATTGTGCACTCTACTAGCAGTCTGTGGGCTAAGGACATTTATACAGCCATCTTTCAGTCTTTCCTCCATTTCTGTTCTAGTGCCACTATGTGTATTGATCAGACTGAAGGCTGCTGATGTATGTGCCACTGACAGATTCATTTTTTTTAATACTTCCCACTTGAATAAATCATGTCTGTCTTATTTCAGGACTCTGCAAACCGTTGGACCTTCTCATGCCAGGACCTATACAGTAGCTGTTTATTTCAAAGGCGAAAGAATAGGATGTGGTAAAGGCCCAAGGTACTGTGAAAAATTGGCATAGTATTAAAGTTTATTCAGCTCAGGAAGTATCCAGAATTACCAGCCGTGAAGGTAGATAAGTATCCAATTAGCCTCAAAAAGGGCAAACTTCAGAGCATTTCTCAAGTTTCTGGCTCAAATGTATATTATTATAAATACAAATCATTTATATTTAAATTATTCTAATTTATACCTGAAGGTTCAATATCCATATACGTTTAGGCACATAATTATACATGTGAACCTACTGACAACTTGGCGAGCAATCCTGACCTGTTGTGATTCACAGAATGGAAACTACAGAACAGCCTCCAATAATAATGATTTTAGCATTAGTTTTGCTGCTAAGTTATGGTCCAAATTAAGCTGGAAAGGGAATGGTGAAAGGCTGTGATTTTAGCCATGTAAATAAAAAAGTGAATATTCTGGGATAGTTTATGAAGTTACAAAAACTTACACTGTGAAGCCAAAGTACCTAATTTTATTTTGCGGTACAAAATAAAAAATGTCATTAGTTTTATGGCATTCACACCTCTGATGTTGTTCCTTTTTTCTTCTCCCAAGTCAAAGTAAGTGCTTCAATAGAGAAGAATGAACTAGAATATTCTATTAATGTTATTGATCTAAGTTTAAAAATATTATACTGGAGTTGTAGTGCTATTGCTTGCATATTTGTAGAAAGGTTGATATATTGTACACCATGGGAATTACTGGCTAGTGATTATCTGAAAAACTTTATTACAGAGGAGTAGACAGTGCTTCATTTTCTTGGAAATTGTGATTTATTCTGTGTAACCTAGATGTAATGTAACATGTTTTTGTTTGGCTTTGACAGTATTCAGCAAGCAGAAATGGGAGCTGCAATGGATGCACTTGAAAAATGTAAGATACTTGCTTGGGCAACAAAGAAAATTATTTATATTTTACTTCCTTAGACTTTAATAGGGTGAAGTGTGGGTTTTTTGGGGAAGAAAAATAGAGCATATACACTGAAAAACAGCATATATACTGAATGCTGTCAGCTTTTAAGCAACAGGTTTGCCTATTAATGCTTTCTAGGCAACTCTGTAAAAAGTGGAGTTAGTATACTAATAACAGGTATATTTTTCATGAAAGTTTTTGATCTCAAGCAGAGACAGGAACTTAAAGGGAACCTTGTGCAATAAAGTCTCATTGAGATTTTCAATGTTTTGAATATGTAATGGCATCAGCCTGCTCCATCTCATATAGTGAGCTTGTCTCATGCTCTGCTTCGGGGAAAAGGAAATAAAATTTGACTTTTGGATTATGCAAGAGATTAGACTAAAGACCAACATGCAGATCCTCAGCCCCATTTAGGTCAATACTAATCTGTTAACAGCAGTTTATATCACCTGAGCATCCAGACATCTTTGTTTACTTCTTTCAAATTTATGCACAGAAAATGCAGTGTGGAGCAACTTTTCATTGCAAGGGCATCTCAGAGAGGAAACTAGTCAGTCTAGTTAAAATGCCAGCTGTGCAGGTACTGTTAGTAAATACATAATGTGTTTTGTGCAACAGCAGTTCTCTGTGCAGGAGAACTAGGGGAAGTCAATTTTTGCATTTCACTGAAAGGAAACACCTGCAGCTCCTCAGATGCCAGAAAATTTTAATCCAAAGCCTCTGCATTCTGAAATTCCAAGCCTTAAAACTTGCAGAAAACAATGCAGTGTCTATAGTTGCTTCCCAATTTAGGTTGGGAGGAGCACCACCCCTCAACGCAGAGCCAACTTTGAAGTTGGGTTGTGCTGCTTCAGGGCTTCTTCAGTCAAGTTTGATTATTTTTAGGGGTGGAGACTCCATAACCCTTTTGGGCACCTTCTCGTGTGTGTGTATCTTTTAAATGAAGTGGGAGGGGGGAATTTATTTTTTATTCATTTATTTTAATAAAGTAGTTAATTTCAAGCAAAAGTCATTTTCCTGTACTTGTTTATACATCCAGTAACTCTGATTTTATTGAATAAATTTCCTTCTCCAAGTCATAAAAAGGATTATTAACAAGCAGGTTGCTACCAAGCAGATTTTTTAAGGAATTATGTTATAGGCACTGTGCAGAAAATACTGTTTTCACTTTATGGCACACATGAGCAACAAAATCTCCCAGAACTCCATTAAACACAAAGCACTGGAGTTTTAAAAAACAACAGCAATTTAAAAACAATTTGCTTTTCCTTAAGTTGTTTTCTATTTTACATAAATAAATCTTCCGATGCCCAAGTTCTGAGTAACTGATGGATAAACCTTTTATTCATGTAGTACATAATAAAAGCACAAATTTCACTCGCCAATAAAACACAGAAGTGGAAAGTCATTTTACTATAATAGGAACTCTAAGGCTTCTGCACTGTTGACTTCATCTGAACAAATCTATACTGCCTGGGAGCAGAAAGGAGAATTCTCCTGGGGAACAGCATCCCCCAGAGCCCCAGTCTGCCTTGGTGTCGAGGGGCTCCCATCAATTTGCTCTTGGTAACTAACTGCAGAGAGGAGCAGTCTTTTGCTGAGACAAATCCCAGGCTTGTTTATGACTTTAAAGGTCACTACAGTGACTTTTTGCATTCATCTTGGACACAGAGGGGCAGGCAGTGCTGATCCTAGCACTCCACTGCCATGTGATCCCAGCAGGATTAGCCACTCGTTGCAGCTTGCTGCGTACTCTGACGTTTCTTTGGTTTCCGAGTGGATGGAGGGTGCAGGTCTGCAGCACCTTCACATGCAGAAAATACTGTATCCTGGCGGCAGTGCAATTAACAAAGAGCAGTTCAGCCCACTGATACAAGCTGATTTTATAGGCTCAGTTCTAGCTCATGTGCCTAGATAAGAGCACATGGCCAGACCTCTGAAATCAGAATGGTCACTCTCCCTTAGCTTTTTCTTCAGCTTTGTCCGAGTTGGTTTTTCGACTTCAGTCATGCACATGCCTAGATTGTGCTAGATAAGTCTTCATACTAGTTTGTAGTTGAGCCATAATTTTTCAAGAATGGATTTTACTGCAATCCATTCTTCAACCCTATTCTAACACCACTAGGAACCCTGCCATAGTGTAAGGTTTTGCATGGCCTAGAACAGTGATGATAATGGGAACATCTGCATGGTGCTTGAAACCAGCAGTTCCTTCTTTTTGGAGTGGGAGCAAGGGGAGAAACCTTGACAGATCATTGAAAGTAATCTCACATTCAGTTTTTAGTATTGAGCACTTGTTGCTAAGGGAACAGAATGTCAGATCTAGGTTACGCCTGGCCACGTTGCTGTAACAGAATTTTGTATTTGTGCTTTTAAGAGTATTAATTTGGCAGCACTTTGTAGCGGGAGAAACAGAAGTGAAAATCATCTAGAAACTAAAGTCTTACAGCAATGAACCTAGGATCACTGTTAGAATGGACCACTGTAAATGAGAAAAAATGACGAAAACCTTATTCCCCCGCCAAACTTGTAACCTTATCAAAGCTAAAAAGTAAAATAAGAGCTGAGCCTTTCTCTGTGTTACCAGTTTGTTTATTAATGTAAAATATTTCTTCTTGTGTCAGATAACTTTCCCCAGATGGCCCATCAGAAACGGTTCATTGAACGGAAATACAGACAAGAGTTGAAAGAAATGAGGTGGGAAAGAGAGCACCAAGAGAGAGAGCCAGATGAGACTGAAGAAGCAAGGAAATAAAAGGAGGGCATGGAAGCAGTGGCATATTTACTTACTTAATAACTCTGACTGTGGCCTACGGAGACCCAACCTACTTTCTTGCTGATGATGAATGAAGGGTACCTGTTGGTATCAAATACAAAATCTTAACCTCTCCTTAAAAAAGTGTGTATATAGAGAACATTCTTCAGTTTGGTTTTAACTGCAAGTGTTTTGTTTTGTTTTTTCTCTGCTGAGGTTTGTTTTTAAGTCCTTTTAATTTTTATGAAAAGTTGTGGGATTATTCTTCCTGGTTTTAATGTCTTGTTTGAAATAATAAAATACTAATTTCAAATATCTGTAGGAAGAAAAAGTGTTTAACATGTCTCCTATGTTCAAATGCTATTGTGTGATCAGCAAAGTTATTGCATGAGCTCTTCTATGGAGGAAGAAGGTGTTATGAGGGTTAATTCAGCAGAGCAGTCTAACGCATCTCGCCGAAGTCTTGCAGCTATATGGAGTTCTTGACTCTGCTGAAGCAGAGTCATAAATTTCTTGCCAGTAGATTGGTATAATAACTTCAAAATCAGGAAATACTTTTGTTTTAAGCCGTAAAACTGGGATTGCACACCTGAAGAGTACACTGCTGTGTCCAGAAGATTTGGGTGTTTTAGTATTTCAAACCTCTTGAAGGGGGCCTGGGGGTAGAGGGAAACCATGGTAGTTGTGAAGCAAAGGAACAGAATGTGCTGAGTTTACAAGTTTTGTGTCATTCTCAACTTCTTTTTTATAGTACTGATGCCTACTTTAATGGGTTTCTTTGCCCAGAATGTAATCACTGTGTTCACGATAGTCAAATGCTGTATCTGAGACTTCATGCAGATGCTGTTCCAGATAATTCAATTGAAAGCTATTCATATCCGTATGAGGGCAGTTTAAAGATTGTATAAAGTCTTGAACATCCAATTCTGCATGTGGTTCTGCATGTGGGCAGCCAATGTACATCACACAGCTGCCTTCATTTTGAAGTTTGTGGCTTGTATTAGACAAAAAGACACCTCTCAGAAAAGATTTGAATCTTAATTTGAGGCACCAAGCAATGGAACATCCACTGTGTCTGTTGTTGGCAATTGATCCACCAATTACTAGCTTTACTGTGGGCATTTGTGCAGTTGATCCTCAAAAGTTAGAGGGACTGGGGCTGGACCCAACTCTTAATAGGGATTCCATACACTGTGGTAACTATAGGCCCGTCTCTGGCTTTGCCGGATTCACAGTCTGTTGACTGTAAATCCAATTGCCTTCAAAACAGCAAATCGAATTCACAAATAGGATGATCAGCTATAGGCCCAACTCTGGCAGTATTGGGTTCACAAACAGAAGGAGAAGTCTGAGCAAAGTCCATCAGAAGGGACTGATCTGCCACCATTGTCGGCCCAGCACCAGACACACTATGTGGCTCGTCAGCTGCAAGGTACGACCAGGTGCCACAAAGTTTGGCCATGGTGTCTCCACTCTGCTCCACTCTTCGTTTACTCTTATTAATGTGTGCTAGGAGGGCAGATTGTGTTGCCAAGGGAATCGTGGAGAAGTAGATTCCACACATACCAACCATCCTGGATGCGGCAACTGCCTCTCACCTCAAGGAAGCCTCTGTAATGTCATATCTTTTGTTAGGCCGTAGTTTTTCTCTAGTTTCCCCTTTCTTGAGCAATTCTCTCACACTGGCTCAGCAGTTTTCTAAAGTAATTTGCAGGAGATGTCAACAAAGATCCCTGACAGCTCCTTCTTCTGGGTGTCCAAATAAACAGTGGTGTAGCTGAAATTACGGCTACAGAAATCTCTTCCCAATTTCTACTTCTGAGCTAATCAGTACCTGCATTTTCATACGCACATTTTTTTTACACATGCAATGTGAGGCATGATTAAGGGTGTTTTTGAAAGCTTGACCTCACAGCACTTCCTTACTTCTTTCCTTACTTCTCCCAACTTGTGGGATTACTTTTCTTAATAGATTGGTGCTTTAAATCCAACACAGAGGCTGAGACCAAAAAAAAAAAAGGGAAAAAAAAATCTGTAATTTGAAGAGGAGAGGGGATTTTTGTCCTCTAAAACAGAGAGGAGAGGAATAAAAAAACAATACGAAAGGCAAGGAGCTCTTCTCTGCTGGATGCTGATGTTCCTTGACTCTTGAGAAGTGATTGCAGCTCCTTCCAGCTTCAGTCTGTAAATAAAAAGCTGAAATATTTGAACAGAAGCAGGCTTTAAAAAGAAAGTAACAACAATCTATCTCTTTTTCCCAAATCCTTTGTTTCAAGTCCTTTCATACAATTGCCCACCTGCTTCTAGCAATAGGGGGAACTGGTGCATTGGTTGAGACTTACAGGCAACTGAGTACACCATTACTTTATTTTCCCATCTTAACTGTGATCAGATCCATGCACTTAAATAAAAGCAGCGACTCAATTTCCAGATGTATGATCACTACAAATTTCTTATTCATGAAATGATTGGAAGACCCCAGTGCAATTCTTGGGTCATAATTTGACTCAATAATGTAGGGATTATAATTTGAAATTGCTTTTACTTTCCCTCTATATCATTTAACTTTTCAAGTGCATGAAGTATTGTTATTCATAAACATTTGCATAAAAGTAGATTGCATTTTTCAGATAGGCTGTTTGGGGAAGGAATCCAAGACTGTTTTCTCTCAGATAGCTCTTCTTGCAGATGCAGAAATTAAAGACTGACTTTTAAAGTGGTTACTGCATTCTGATACCGCAGTCAGTGTTTGTGAATATTTTTGATCATTTAATTTAGATGGACATCTAGAATGTCTAACATGAGCATAATCCTTTATAACACAGTAAGGAGATAATGGTGTTTCTTTGAATTGCCTTAGTTTTTGTAAAAATAGTTACTTACCTCATGTTTATCAACAAAAGAGTTGTCTATGATTAGACAACTTCAATTTTTGGAGGGGAAAGAGGAGGCACGTGAAGATGTCTCTGGCTTGTTGATACAATAAGGTCCTTGTTTCACTGCTCTAGCGCGTGATCTGGAGTTCTAATTCATGATCTGCTGATTTGCTTTGGGTGCAAGCAGGTGAACAAAGAAAAAGGCAGACATTTCTGTGGACCAGCCGGTCCTCCTTCAGAAGTGCATCTTTGGGGCGGTTTTAATGTGCATGTGTACAGAGCATTGAACAGAATTGCAATATATAATCCAGTTCATTTTAATTAGGAGTTTTAATTGAACATATAAAATTCAGATATCTTACTTGCAGGGCAAGTTCACTAGGTGAGATTGTAGTTTCTGTATTATTGAACAATGATTCAAAGAGAACCTTTGACTGCACAACTTGCACATATTGTTTCTCCGGAATTTTCCAAGAGATACTGGTCTGATTACACAGCTATGTGTTTAAATGAATTAGGCATTTCACTTGTAAAATCTGTCTGTTTGATGAAAGTTTATGAAAGGGTCTTAGGGATCCCATTAAGGGCTTAGGGAGTTGATCATCTACATGATATATTGAAGATATATTGTCATTGGCGGGGATTATGTTGTGATAAAAATTTTCATGACTCGTACATCCCATCCCCCTGCCTGTTCTTCCTCTTCCTCACCGCCACAGGTTATAGATTTGTCACCCAATCTTTGAAGTAGTTTTGCCTAAACAAGAAATGCTAAACCAGAAGGTGGTTCCTGTTTTCTTGCCCTTATGAGTGCTGTCTAGGCTGTAAGGAGAACTTGCAGTTTGAAGAAAACTCTTCCATTCACTACAAGCCCAAATGGTTAGTTCTTGGAATGAGTGCAATCTTACTGTGAATGGGTGCACAAAGAAATGTGACGTGTCCCATCGACTGTCACTGGTAACTAGTTTTTCCTAATAAGCCCTGGTTAGCGTGGCATTGGGATAGACATCCTGGAGTCTGCTGTTTCATTTATAGCTGGGCAAATACTCCAAATAACCTGGAATGTGGCTGGCTGAGCAGTGATCTCACATTTTTTTTATACACACCAAAAGGTAAAATTATCGTAACAATACAGTAGGTGGAGCAGGGAATCAGATCCTGCATCTGTCACTGGCATATCTCAATATCCTTTATTTTTACTGCAGAACTGTTCATTAGACTGTCACTGATAACAAATGAGTTTTGTTTGAAAGCTGGAATAACTTCTATTTTGAAGACACAATCTCCCTTTGATGTACAATGACTCCCATGAAAACGAGGTGCAAATCTAGAGGTGTACTGGTCACTTTGCAGCATAGGGTGGGTGGAGGTTTACACTGTATCAAGAATGGCAGTTTGTAAATTATTCTTGACTTTTCCCTCCCTCATATAGTGTATTTTGTGTTCCCAGCTTGCACTGCAGATATTATGTTTCTCAGCAAATTTGTCATGTTTACCAAAGTTCTTTGTCTATGTAGCAATTCAGTGCAATACTAGGTAAGATCATCCATCACAACCTTTGTTTAGTGTTTCTCTGTATTCCAGAGTAGTTCTCTGGGAGGAAATAAGGGTGGATGATTGCATATTGGTCTGGTTTTGCTTTCGTTGTTTTCCCTCTTTTCTTTGTGGTAGCCTGCCTCGCTGCTCGTGCAGTGAGTTGTTCAGCTAGAGCATCTCTCAGAAGCTTGCAGAAGAGAAGATCTTCTTAATCTCTTACATCTGTTTTCTGCTCCTAGGCACATTCCGACGTGGAAGCTAATGAGCTGAGGGAAGCTGGTATCAACCTTTCAAAATACTGAAAGATCTGCCAGGGAGTCATAAAAACAGTGCTGTCAAACAGGCTCACCCAGCAGCTGCAGCAGCGTGTATTGGCTAGAACAGGTAGGCTGATTCTGGGAAGGAAAAATAAAAGATCTGCTTTATTTTCCAAAGCCTAAGACAACAGCTGCGCTAGGATAGAAAAGAAAAGAAAATGACCATATTCTCTCACTCTTGTGGATTTTCCAGTGCCTGTTTTTCCAGGCATCCTCACACTGCATAGATTTCTTTCTGGGGCCATAAGATGAAAAAGATTATGTGTTCCGGCCATTTAGATTTCCCCATCTATAAGGGAGCCCTTTTCTTAACCAGCTTGCTGCAGATAGCACAGGGAGCACCCAGTAAATATACTCAAACCTTAATTATATTGATGTATTTCCTTTAGTCTAAATCATCATTGCATTTCTCAGAGAGATTCAAAAATTTTTCGTAAGTAAGGGCATAAATAACACTCAGTAATGTGATTGTGTTGCTTTTCACAATACCCATGCCAAGGGAAGAAATCACTAGTAACTGCATTGTGTTGTAAGAGTGAAAACAAGGCAAGCAATTGTCACTCAGGTCCAGACATCAGGGGGTCTCTGGTGCAGCAATGATGC